CGTGTTTATACTTGGTGATGGCTCAAATTCAAGTATTTCGGGAACACGAGGTCGTCGTTCTCCAGAAACAGTTTATTATAACGCTCCTCTAAAACCCAATACTACTTATCGAATTTTTCAGCGTGTGGTGATAAATGATCAGGTAATTGCTTGAATTTTTGTTAAAACACTTCTTTTTGTTTTTTTTTATCAAAATTTAATGCACTTCTTATCAGGGTGATTATTATTCTACTGAATGGAGTCCTTCAGCAAGAACTGCTTCAGAGCTACTTCCGCTTCCAGGTGAGTTTAAGAGTATGGCTTTATTAATAGTCGAAGCATAACTTTAAACGAAATCGCGGAGAAAGATTGCCAAATGGACAGTGGAAATTTTTTTTCAGTTTTTTTTACAATAAAATAACTGTTTTTATATAAATGAATTTGCTGGATTCAGAAGCATTCTTTCTACGATGTGCAAATTTGAAGTTCGATATGAGAAAATCTGAACACTGCTTATTTTCAATCGTGTGGTGATAGTGCATGCAATATTGAAGGGCATGTGTCTTTCTCTCTGTTTTTTCTCTCTTAGGCGATAGTAAAGATGATGATAACTATGATAACAACGTAACTGCAATTGCTGCAGCTTCTGCAGCTGCTGTTGTTTTCGCTATCGTCTTTGTGGTCCTAATAATTCTTTGAAGAAGGTAGGAGGAGTTTAAAATGAACTGTAAAGTCGACTGACAGCATTAGTGTGAGAGGTGAATGTTTGACACTTTCACATGCAATTTTTCACTTCTTGCAATTGATCTTACTTGTTCATATAACTAGCTTAGAAACACTGCAAATGCTTTTTTTATCTTACATATCAGACTCTTCTTCACAATTGCGCATCATATATTGTCCCATCTTTCTCAGAGTATCAAGAGAAATTATCAAATACAATTGAACATTAAATATGTTTGCAAGATTTTACCAAACTTCCTTATAAGGGATTTAGAAACCTGCTGAATATATGCACAAACAAATGACAACTCTTAGTTTTTTACACTATTCGACAATGTCTGAGGATATTGTTTTGGTTGTAATAAAAGAGAACGCATGAAGCATTTTCTGTTTTAAAAAATGGCAAGCACTGTTTTGTAAGATAAAAAGGAGCATGATACGCTTAAGAAGATTTTGTACTAAGAAGTACAAGCAGGCCAAACTTTGCGTACAAAGAACGACGAACAATCAACTCGTGGGTACTCTACTACTACTGTCTTCTGCAAATGATGGTATATTTTTCTAGAAGACGTGCTGTTGTTAAAGAGCCTAAATCGCATTTGCAATCAGAACATGAGAATAGGAATGGACAAGAGCTGTCCGTTAGAAACGACGCGTTCATCGTTAATGACAATGCGGATCCTGTTGTACGACCAAATGAAGAAAATATTTATGTAAACAAGTCAATTTCCGAAGAAGAAATGTGTGGAAACAAAGAAAGTAAGTAATTTTGGAAAATGTCGTTTTTTTATAACGTTGGTAGTTTTTCTTGATTACATTGCTTATTATATGAGACATGTTTTCTTGAAACGCTCGGTCAGTCGACAAAAAGTAGAAGTTTTTTCCATGTATGTAGTTGATGAAAATAATAATGTGGTTTGATTTGAATTTAATTGGAGTTCCAGGTAGCTCTGTGTAATAAGTCTGATTTCAAGATAATTAATTATATTTACAACATTGCCTACTATGAAAATGATTGACAATACGCTTGCCCTAACGTTATGCATGAAAAGCAAAACAGCTTGATGATAAAGCTATCTTGACATAGTAAATTGTTGTATGTTAGTACATAGCCATTGTGTAGCTATGTCCTTTATCTGACAATAATTTTCACATTGTTATTTTTCAGCTATCGAGACCCGTAATCGGCTACCAATTCCACTCGCAAATTTTACTGAGCACGTAAAAAAACTGAGAAGAAAAAACATGGAGGAATTGAGGCTCGAATTTGAGGTAATGTGTTTTATGTGCTCTTTTCTACAGATTCGAAATCCTTAGCGGACTATAAATTCAGTCAAATTTCTCATATTATATGTGCTGTTATGATTAGTTTAGCATCTTCGGCTCAATCCAACATTAAAAATAAGCAGAAAATTTACGAAGGGTGGAAGCTGGAATGAGGTGATAAAAATGAAATTTGTTGTTATGAAATGAAAGTTTGAGTCTTGGCTTGCAAAGTGCGGAGATTTTAAAAAAGAGTACGTCCGCCGCACTGATAGGTAAACTTAGGTGGTTTTCTTTTTAACTCGTGCACGGCTCTTTCATGCACAACCGAAAACAATTATATACGAGATTAGATTGTGTATTCATACCTATGCTTGAACATTAGATCCTTACTGGGTAAACTACGCAACCCAAATGTATGAGGATTCACGTTTCAGTAGCTATGAGTTTAACACACTTGTTCAGTTTTGTATTTGCTTACTATTAAAATTTGCAGGACTTACCAAATGGTCAACTGGGTTATTGCCAAAAGTCCTATGAATTCTGCCAAAAATCGATATGGAAACGCAGTCACGTGTAAGGCTATATTGACTCGAAAACCATGCAATACTGACAAAGTTGTTATGAGAACACTGTCATGTGTCAGATTATTGACACAGATACCTTACAATACCCACAATAATGCTTTCAAAACACCGTCACATGCAAAAATGACCAGATGAATCTAATGTATACGGTGAAATTCAAGTGACCATCACTGAGACAAAAACATTCGCTGATTATGTCACTCGCATTATGGTTGTTGAAATGGTAACTTTTTTTTCCAGTCTTTCTTTCTGTTGCTGCTTGTATGTTTATTTTCCCTTGAATAAGATATAAGGCAGACCTGAGCCAATTCTTTTTGTTAAACAAATGGGGTTTTTTTTGTTGTTTTTTTAAACCTGACCCAGAATTGTCACATAATCATAGAGTTTTTTTTATGTTCATTTATGTCTGCGTTCATTTTACGAATGAAACAAAGTGCATAAGGTTGTTCCATGTATATGTACATCTTCGAGGCTAGTCTAGCTCTTATCACAACTGTAGCTGTTGTTGGTGTTGACTAAAATGTTGGACATGTTTAGAGGTTGCCATTATCCGAGTGAAGTCTGCCGTATTTAAATACCAACACCAACAATTCCTGACACGACAAATACGACAAACCGGATTTAACTTCTCACCTGACTGATAATCACCACCAGTAAGCAAATGATGTCGAAATGGCAACATGAACAGAACTGTCTCAGAACTGCACATAATGGGGAAGAGATGGGAGGGATAGCTATCAATATGTATAACACTTCCATAAGAGGATGTCAAACTTCAATGAAAGGTTGAAGATTTACGTATAGAATGAAAAACGTCAGTGACGCTTTTGAGAGGTAAGCGAGGAATCAAAGGCTTCGTGAAAAAGTGTTCATCAATTGTTCACCTCATGGTATCATTTTTTTGAAGGACAATAGCAAATATAGCTAAAGTAAACATTGTCTTCAGCCTCCTCTTTTTATTTTCAAATTTACCTCGGAAAAGGATGAGCAGTATCATTTACTTCTATAGAACGGCGAACATCACGAAGTCGAGCAGTTCCACTACAAATCATGGCCAGACTATGGAGTAGCTCGTTATCCAACACAACTCTTGACATTCAGGAACCATTTCAAGCTATCGCACAAGACGAAATCCGGTCCTGTCGTCGTTCACTGTAGGTTAGTTGGTCTAGACGGACTAAGCAACCCACTGTGTCCTTACATTGATCAAAAATACTCATAGAAATTGTCGTCTTGTTATCATCAGGAATTTTTTTCAAACATTTCCTTACTGACATTAATAACCTTTTTCAATGTTGAGAGAGGCGAAACTACTTTCCAAATTTCGTCGACACAACTTTCGCCATTGATGTCATTGACGAATTAGTAAATTACTAAACACAATGAAATGCTTCCAAATGAACTATCTGCCAGCAAAATTTTTTGGAAGAAAGCCTTGCATTCAGGATTCAATAAAAATAGCATTTTGACATTATGACATGCTCGAAAAAACTGGGTATATAAGCGTTTTGCTGACTTTGCTTTTCTTAGCGCCGGTGTTGGTCGTACTGGAGTATTTATTGCCATAGATAAAATCCTCGATGATCTAGATGATGATTATGAAACAAACATTGATGTATTTAACTTTGTGGAGAAGATGAGATCGCGGCGCATAAACATGTTTCAAACAGCGGTAGTTACTTAAGAACATCAGGACAAACAGCATTGATCGAGTATATTTAGTTTAGTTTATTCTTTGTCAACTTAAGAAACATTAGTTCTTCATAAGAATTGCATCGATTTGTTGAACTTCAGACAAAATAAAAGTAATTTTAAACGCACGTTAAATTTATTTTCTTATAAAAACCATTATATTAGATTTTAGATAAGTCTTAACACTTCTTTCTTTTTACCAATTAATGATCAATACATGTTCATTCATGACACCAATGTGGAGCGAATGAAGTTGATGCTGTAGAAATAAAGGTCAAATTTCACAACTTTCAAAGACGAATGGGGCTGGAAAAATAGGATTTGAAGAAAAATTCGAGGTGTTTAACATCTTTTATTTAAATTACTATTTCTCATGAAGACTCGTGTTGATGTAAAAAAGAGTCAAATTTCAATATTAGATCATTTATCTTGAACAAACTAGAACTGAGCACACAACTGAATTTTATAAGCAGGCCCTCCTGATGAAAACATCAGGATGGATTACAGAGGAGCTCAAGATATAACATGAGATCACTCATATATGAGAATGAACTGTACTAAAGAAAAAAAGGAATAAGGACTCAATATCAATTTACTCCTCATAAATACAAATTCTTGAAGTAACCCAAATTTTCTTTTGCAGCGTTTACAATCAGTTACATCACAGCTCCCAGAAGAACTTTGTGAAGCAGCACTTTCGGATGAGAACAAGAAGAAAAATCGTAATCCAAATATCTATTCAATTAAGATATTTATACACATCAAGGTGCAAAACCTGGTATTTATTAAAATTTATGCAAAGTCAATTTACATAATACATTAAGTAGTTCTATAGAATTACTTTGCAATGCAAAGTACAAATTTTGAAGTTCAATAACATTTACACAGTTTTATGGGCATTCGCTTAATGTAGATGAATATTAATCGTTACAAGGTGGAAAAGTAAAAGCAGTGTTTTAAAATTTGTTTCTTTCTAGCAGAAACTAATCGTCCAACTCTTCGACGTATTGAACGTGTGGAAAGTTCTGACTACATAAACGCATGTTTTGTTGATGTAAGTAGCCGTGAAGAATTTTTGCGGAGAAAAAAATTAGCACGACTCATCAATTTTTTTTTAGTAATTAAAGCGTTTCAGCTTTTAAACCAGATATTACCATTTCCAAACAAATAATTGATCTTTCTATTCTGGTTAGTAATGGATAAATTATGAAAATAACTCAAAGACTCTTTTCATGATTTCTTTTAGGGTTATCTAGGAAAGAATTACTTTATTGCAACACAATTGCCTTTAAACGAAACAATAAACGACTTTTGGAGGATGGTAACTCAGCATGAATGCACGACCATCGTTTTGCTGAGTCAGATAAATAAAGACGTGGAGGTTTGTGACGTTTTTGTAGAAGCAGAGAAATTTTAAATGATTTAGTGAGTGGAGGGGTGAAGGGTAGAGGTGAGTTTTCCAAACTAAGTTCGTTAATAAGAGGGAGGAATGGGGTGTGTCAAGTATTGCACAGTTTACTGTTTTTCTGCCATTTTGCAGAAAAACAAAATGGCAGAAACTAACTAATCTCTTGCAACTGCGATCTGCTAATCTATTCACTTTTTTTAATTTGATGTCTATTTTGTGGTGTTTTTCAAAATACATTATCTATTGGACGTAATGCCTTACAATGTGATATTAGAATGATTGGAAGAAAAAAGCTCATCACTTAACACCAACATGGCCAACAGAATTGCTGTCAAACACAGTTACGTTGATTTTGAAATAAGTTCTACCATTAAAGGCTCCTTGTCAAAATTTCTTGTTGTCAAAAACTTCTTGTCTTATTTCGGGAAACGATCTCATTTATGTTTCTAAAGGATTTTAGTGAGATATTGCCCAACACTCATACAAAATTGAATGACATTTTAAACCATAATAAAGCATTAGAGATTCACTTTTAAACTTGTTCGGAATATCCAATGTTTTGGCCCACGAAGAGAGCAACAAGTCAACCTTATGGAACATGTACTGTTTTGTTTGATTCAGTCGTAAAGAAAGAAGACATCGTTGTAAGAAAGTTTATTGCTTCTCCAACGAGAGTGAGTATTATAATAGTTGTGAAGTATTTGACACTTCAACATCATCATCGTTGTAAAAAGCTTGGTGAAAAGTTTCAATGCGTCATAAAAACATTATCTCTTACGATATTGACAGTGCCATCTTTTTTTCGCTGCTCTAATGAGTCTCAAGCTCCGAGTTTTTGATCATCGTGCAACTCGATGTATGCACTGTCAAACATAATTATTGCAACAAAAATCACAGCGTAAAGCTTATCATAGTAAGCACAAGCGAGGAATTATCTGCTAAATAAAGTTGGATGTTCGTAGCAAGTACACTTTCCTTCATCCAGTACAATCCCTTGAAACGAGCAGTAATAACACAAATGTATAAGTAAACACAAAACCTTACCAAATATCTAGGAAATCAAAGAAGGTCGAATGGTCAGAATGGTTCAGTACTTATCATGGCCTAATCATGGAGTACCTAAAGATAAAAAGAGTTTGGTGAATGTCTTGACAGAAGTCGAAAAGGCACAAAGAGCTGTGGAGGTCAAAGGGCCTGTTGTCGCAGTTTGCAGGTAATGCGTTTGCCTCTAGAGGACAGTACTGCTCAGAAGTGTTAGGTTATGCTCTCATGTGATGTGTATATGTGTATCTGGGTAAAGTGTGTGTTAACTTCCTACATGTTTAATTATAGAAATGATTGTAAACGTAATCGATATTATTTGTAACAAGAGCTGAGGAAATAAACTGACCAATCATAGTTTAGCGTCACGTATGTAAATAGCTGTATCATTATGTGTATCAGTTGTCGTGTGCTAGTCTTTCTTCTATGTGTGGGAATAAATGTAATAAAACCTCCAGACATCAGTGTGATTATTTATCATGGCCACTGCATCAAACCCAACAAGAAGTAACTTTTTTAACACGTTCAAGAAGAAAATTTTTTAACACGTTCTGAACGCGTTCCTAATTGTTCAAAAAAACTCGGTATAACATGGAAATCTCCGAAATTGAACACTTTTATAGCGAAGATATATGATCAATGATCGGATGCGGCAAACAACGCGTTTTGATATGCGTTCCATCTTAAGCCGAACGCAATTAGAACGCAACTGGAACGCATTTCGGAACGCGTTCCAAACGCGTTTTCGGTAAACATACTTCTGAGCAGTACTTTAGGCTCACAAAGTTCATATGACAAATAATGGCTTGAACTTAAACTTTCGAGATCGCAGAGTCTAAGTGAAGTGAAATTTGAGGAAATTTACAGATTTTAATGTCGATGTCGCAACAAAAGCAAATTTTTGTCCACCCTTCGTCTCCTTGTAATCCAGGAACAATATGTCAATTTCTTCTTGAAGCTACATATCCATTCAAGCATTCGATTTTGTCCTCATACTGCAGAGAGTCGTTGATATTTGTGCTTGAAATAGTTTCAGCAAGTTGATAGTGACATATTCCTCAGAGTTTCTTTTTTATCAGAAAACTACTGAATGTGATAAAGCTTTTGAAACATTGTAATTTCAAAATTTATTGGTGAAGTGAAGAATTAATTCCTGTAAAAGGTCTTTGTAACCAGTGAAGTTTTTTCCAGTTTTGTTTTAGTTTGTATTATTTGATAATTGAATTCTTTACGTGAAACTTTGATCGTTCTATTAATATTTCAACTGCAAGTGAACCTTCAGAACCTGCAGGTAGATCAGGCACTTATATCACCATTTCAAACCTTGTGGATCGAGTTAAAATCGTCATGGATGTGTTTCAGTGCATAAAACTGATCCGGAGTAGACGCCCACAATTTTTCGAGACCGGTAAGTAAAATGAAAGCCAATTTCAAACACAAATTTTTGCATGAAATTGGAATTTTGATTCGACCTAAATGAAGATTTTCAAATGAATTGTTTTATACATTTAAAATTTATCTTTCTTGAATGAAAGTAAAATTTTTATATGTAGATATGAGCTTCGCACTTTGTTGAACAATTTAAGCAATTGTCTCATGAACCTGAAAAATTCAGGTGGCTCAACGGGATTCGAACCCATGACCTCTGCGGTTCCGGTGCAGTGCTCTGACCAACTGAGCTATGAAATCACACACTGGTGAGCAGGTCAATTTTGTTTGGTAGATGTTTTCTCGTGAAAGGAATGTCATACGAAAGAATGTTTCAAACACCGCACTGCATAAAAACATTCTTTAGTAAAATTTTCATTAGCATTTAGGTATTTCGTTTTCTACATGAAAGTAGTCTTTCGTAAGTGTAAGCAAATTTCTGCGAAATGTAACGTGAAATTTTCGGGAGTTTTTTTGGTTCATTTATATTTTTACTTATAGTTTTATCCATTTTGTGAGATTTCTGATCATTTGCTGTTGATGTGTTCTTAGGAGCAATTCAAATTTTGTTACAATGCAGTGTCTTGCGTGTTGGAGTCCTTTGACGAGTATTCAAATTTCACAGAAATAGCGAAATCTTGAGACTTTAGTTTACACATGTTATTTAACAAAGGTCAATATATAAAGGATTGGACCAAAGTAAAATACGTTTCATAAATATACTAACGTCACTTTTTATTACTGACCTAAGGTAAACACCATTCATTTAGTTGGCACTTACTAATAATTAATTGTTTTATTCTAACCATTTTTTCCTTATGAAATAACGTACAACCAATGAAAACAGAACGCGGTGTAGATAATTACATACATGTAATTTGAAAACAACGTTATGACGCCGTCTGACATTGTCGAAATGATTGCACGGATGCTGCACAAAGTCAAAAGATATTTTGCGAGCGAAAAATTGCCTTGCCATGAGTAAAAACTCGTTCATGAGCAACTTAACATGGTGCTGTCAATGTTGTTGAAGAAGACGTGCTGAATTAGTTTTGTGAATGTTTATAACATTTGTTTACGTTTAACTTTTTTAGGAGGTTTCCTTTGCATTTATTTTCACAACTGTAACTATTTTTAATTTAGAATATTTGCCTAGCTCTCATTTTATGAGATAGCTAATTCTGTCTGTTGTTCTCAAATGTACTAACAAAAAACCTCAAAATTTCTTTTAAATTTAATTTTACTTTATTGTTGTATTAGCTTATAGCTACATAAGACTGGCTACTTATTTATTGCATTAGCTATTTAGAAAATGTAAGTTCTTTAAAAAAAGAGTTTTGTGGTCCCAAATAAGGCATTATAATATCTGCAACAAATTTCACACAAAAACTCGATGCCAGAAGGAGTTCCCAACCACCGAAGAATATTTAACAAATGAGTTTGTTTGTTGGACTTACTATTTATCTTCCAAACCTTTCAACCTACGGCAACCTTTAAATCAATTGCTTAGGAATGATAAACACTGGAAATGAACCTCAAAATAAAATAAAAATTGCTTCAAACAAAGTTAATTCATTAGGGACAGGTCCTGGCAAAATATAGGATTGGGAACGACTACTAAACTTTGAATGTGAGGTTTCACTCGATGGATTGCGACTTTAACACAAGTCATTCTCAATATTATGGAAAAAGGGAACTGCATGTGCGTCAAAATTCTTATCAAAAATGGAAAACATTTTTAAATGTCACCTCATGGAAGTCAAGAACATGTGATCTAATTATCTTTGATAATTAATGAATTGGATCATACTAGTTTTTTCCCGATTCGCTGTCATTTGTATTTGTTCATATTATTATTAAAAAGAGGACAATGTTCATATATTCATGTTCTACCGTATGAAATTATTTTGAAATCGATTGTTGTCTGCCGATTAGCTGTAACATGCATAGGTAAATATCTTCCTTATCGTATCAAATAAATGGACTGTGCTATACACTTCAACAGTTAGGGTTTTCAAAGTTTGATAAACGACGTTTTTTCAGTATTTTTTAAGCTACAGCTGGCCGCCTGGCCGGAGTGCAGATTAGCCAACTCTCGTATTTTCATCGACTATAAAAACTGCATGTCCGCACGCTTGACATCAAATAGCAAGGCAACGCAACAATCAACTTAATTTCGACAGCTAAGTCCATCTCACTCCAAAAAGTCTTGAAAAAGGAAGAGAGCAGGTGCGAAAGACCAAGAGGCTGGAAATAGTGATGGGCTCTCAAAAATTAATCTTGCTAAATTTACTTCCAGTGTCTTCGTCTTGTTAGACTGTTACAATTCAATGTTGAACACAGTAGTTTAGCAAGCTCGATAATTGGGGTGGGTAAGGTAATTTTCATAAACTATTACAGAATAAGATTTCAAAAGAACAAACATATGGCCAACATAGCGCTTCCCTCAAATTATGTCGACACCAATGGTTAAACAACGATTTTCATGCTTTGGTCTGCTAAACTGTACTTGCCCCCTTGTAAATACAATAACTTCTATTCGTATCTCTTGCAAATCTACATTTTTTTTAAATTTTTTTTCGATACTGCATAAGCAAGGCGTATCAAGAAGAGGAGCAGAAAATTGTGGTAGTAGATACCTGCAAAATCAAGTTTTGAGACCTTATGTTCAATACCACATTACTTCAACTATATTACTAGTGAAAGAATTAGGCTATTACAAGTTTGAAGACAAGGTCTTAAGCTATATGTATCCAACAAAAAAATTTTGTTCAAGAACCAAAAGTCATATCAACACCATTTCTTAACTGAATATGCAGGAAAGGGTGAAGAATGCAATGATATAATTTTTGATCAGTACAGTAGTGTTTGATTTTCCATGGTTACCAAAAACCATCGCCAACCACCATGATTCATTATTTCTCAATCTTTACTTAGGTCTACTCTACTCCTATCACATTTTGAAGTATTTCATTGCATTCTACACCTCAAAATACATATAAATGCCAATATTCATGAAGATTGGATTGCTGGTTCTTCTAAACGACCTGCCCCAAATCGCACAAGTCAAAATAACGACAAAAAAATATAGTGCAATATTTATAGATAATTTTTGAATAAAATACAATAAACTAATAGAATAAAGGGGCAAAACCTAAAAAATGAACAATTAATGTTCTTTAAAATAAATGTTTAGCTCCCAAAAGTACCTCTTTCGTACATAGTTCCTTCTTGTCTCTCATTTTGGTCAGTTCGCTTCTTCCTCTCACTCCTACAAATCTGACGCCGAAGCTTTGCTTCCTCTGTCATTTTCTTAGCAGCTGCATACAGTCTCTTTTGGTCGATTAAAGAAAAGCCAGTTTTGCTATGCTTTCCTACTTTAATATTCAATCCTCTTTGAATTGTTTCAAGTGTCTTAGCACCACCATTGAACAAGCAAACTGCTAACGAGCATGCTGTCAGCACTGTTTCTGGACCGCTAAAAACTTCCTTCGGACAGAAGTCCCAAACAAGGTGATTTAGAGCCTCATTGTTATTTTGAGACAATCCAGCCAGCACACTATCCAACAGACTTTTATCCCACAAGCCTTGAAAGACAGGCAAAATTTCTTTCATTACTACTGGAGCAATGTTTTTTGGTTGGAATGTTTTTGTTCAAAGAACTTTATCTTTCTGCCAACTACACCATGAATTTTCTCCCTCAGGGCAATACTGGTGCATTTGCTTGTCTTTTGTTGAAGCATAATGGTGCCAAATAGCTTTTACTGCTCTCTCCATGCCATCAATATTCCCCTTATTTTCCCTTAGAGCTTTCCCATAATACCTTTGGAACATATCAATTAGGTTGTCGGTGAGACGATTGCGACCTCCAATTGTTTTGCCATCAGACAATTTAGTGTTCCTCAAATCTCTTTTCTTTTTTCTAAGCCTTTCTCCCATCCTCTTTTGAATATGTCCAACACATTCAATTTTTTGAACCTCCACATCTCCATATGGGTTCGAGCGTACAACATCGCGATGTGAGGAACAATCGCAATCACCTACAAAATCAACATAACGCAAGTTATGCTTCTCCAATGACCGTTGCCAGATTCCCACTGTACCAGCAGCTTCCATTGCTTTAGCAGATCTGTCAAAGTTGGCATTACATTTAGGACCATGGGTTTCCATCCAATGATTATACTCCTCTGAGTCTGGGTCAAGATGTTTCTTGGAACGGCATTGGTAACACACCTTACTTTTCACTTCAAAGTCAAGGACTTTACCACTATCAATTTCAATGGCAGACACCATACCATATAGAGATTGAAAACCTCTTCTTGCCCATGTACCATCACATGAAACTGCAATATCCAATGGTTCATGCTTGCCCACATTGCTTTTGGCTCGCAGTTCTTTTGCTGCTTTTTTCATTTCATACTCAGCGACTTCCTGTGAAACACGGGAAATCGCCTTCACATGGGTGTTATAGGATTTTTTTGCTCCTGGCCCTGGCATGTCTATAACAGCACAAAATTTAACCAAAGCTAATCTTCCCTTTCCAATTACTCTCATAGCCAAAGTAACTCGACGATTCACATCATAAAATCGACCTTTACCTTTGACCACTCTTTGTGAGGTTGGGAGCTCAGTACAGGTATCACAAGAAGAGTTAGAACATTGCAACAACATTGTTTTAGCCAATCCACATCCTCCAGGTTTTTCTAACAGACGTAAACTACCTTTCAAACAGACTTTGCAAACGGCACATTTCGATATAATTTGACCCAGCATAGCTACGTCTTGAAAGCGATAACCAGTGGGAATTCGGGGTGCGGATGTTGTCGTATGGCTGGATGAGCTTTCATCTAGTCGGATTTTCTTCGATGAAATACTGCTTTCACCATCGTCGTTATTTTCTTTCGGCTTTCTAGAGCGTTTCCCTGATCTAACAGGTCTTCTCAAAGATCGATATTTAGTTCTAGGCAGTGCCAGAAAACCTTCGGAAAGCTTTTGAATAACAATAACAGTAAAACCGTTGAACATGTACTGATCAAGCTTGATGTACAAATTAGATACCAGGTTCTATTTATGGTAGAACCCCAGCCCAGGCCCTAAGCTATTCACGTACACGCTTTCTAGCATTGTAACCCTGTTTATTTAACGTAAAAATGGGGAAAAAAACCAAATTTTCAAATTCGTTGCCATAGAAACACCATGGACTTTAAAATACCGTCTTCAAAAAACATAGAATTTTCAGCTTTAAAATAATGTTTTCAACAAAACAAAAGGTAGAAATTAAAATGTATATGCTAAGAAAGGGTTGTATGGAAAAATTAAAAAAAAATAAAATTCATGATTTTGCGGGTATCTACTACCTTAGATCTTGTGAAATTTCAATTCCTGATCATTGTGCTAACCAAATTGATACATTTTCTGCACGTTCTGCTGTTAAAAGTTACATCGCATTCCCATGCAGGAGTATAAAGCTTAGTGCTCACATCAAATGAAAGTAATTTATCCACGTGGCTGACAAACTTTATGCACCCGTGGGATTAGCATAGTGATAGAGATTGAAATTATCACAATAAGTCATTTTCTTAATTAAGATTTTTTATACATACTGTATGATAAAAAGATGCAAAAAGTAGTTATCATTAAAGCACAAGTTCCCGTCGAAGTTTGTTTTTATTCTTAGGTTTCTTGGGACTACTGCAGTTTAGGCGGACACCTTGGACGTTGACCAAAACCAAACCCAAACCCCCATTAATCCCAAACAAAAGACGAGCCAACTGTCTAAATTGCAGTCCAGCTCGTTTCTTACACGATTGAGGTCTTTGAGGACAAAATGCTTCTGTGGATTTGAAATAACCTAAAGCGAAAAACTAAACCGAGTAGACTGGGATAATGGGGCCACAAGCGCTGGGCTTAATACTAAGAGATCAAAGGCTCAGAGACGAGTGACCTTCTGGCTTCCGTTATGTATATTCATTATTTTGTGTCAAAGTATATTGAAATTGAAACTTCCGTGTTCAGTTGACAAACGTCCTGTTTAGTTATGGCCAGATTACGATCGTCGATAACTCAAATTTGAATTCGAATCCTACGTTTTTTAGTGAGTGGATGATGTCAGATATCAGTCAGTTTTGTTATCTGTTAATGTTCGCAATTATCTTTGTCCTTTCTATAAAAGGTATGTCCTTTGAACGTTGGATGTTTTATGTTTACCCGGTCGACACACAATTTGCAATGTTGAAGTATCAGTTATAAGAGCATGTGTCAGTCGTATAATTATAATTGATTATTGAAGTTTTACAAACAGCCTTATCCCAGTTAATCTATTTGTAATATGATCTCGACTACACAAGATCGAAGTATTTGAGGTTAGACGGCGTGATATTTAGATGTGCGGAAGTGCTTCGACATAATTTAAGTCATCGAAATCTTTTTTTTGTCTTTTTCATCTTCGAATTACTCATTTGCACTGAAAATGACTGAAGATGACTGTTAAGTCGAACATAAAAAAATTTCTTTGTGTTTTTCTTTGAATGCCAAATTAGTATAATTTGCTTTGGTAAAATTATTAATCCATTTAATTGTGACGTATGCGGAAGAAAAGAGCTCTCAGACTTTTGCCAATATTGAAATTTTCATTCCTCCCAGCAACGTGTTTGTGATTACGACCAATATATATTTGGGACTTAAGTGGGCATGGTAAAATTTATATTTGATTATAAGTCTCCAACCATCACTCTAGTGTTTGACTTTTAGAATAATGTTTCGTCTAAAGTGTGTGCGTATATAGCGTTCAATTTCCCGCCAAATTTCATGCCTCAATTTTTAGCAATATAGTTCGCATTCGCGACATTAAAGCTTGCATTCGCGACAATATAGTTTGCTTTTGCGACATTATAGTTTGCTTTCGCGACATTATAGGTTCCATTTGCGACATTATAGTTCGCATTCGCGACATTATAGTTTGCTTTCGCGACATTGTAGTTTGCTTTCGCGACATTATAGTTTGGATTCGTAACATTATTGTTAGCATTCGCAACATTAAAGTTTGCCTTTGCAACATTAAAGTTTGCATTTGCAACATCAAAGTTTGCATTCGCATCATTAAAGTTTGTATTTGCAACATTAAAGTTTGCATTTGCAACATTAAAGTTTGCATTCGCGAAATTAAAGTTTGCATTTGCAACATTAAAGTTTGCATTCGCAACATTAAAGTTTGCATTCGCGACATTAAAGTTTGCATTCGCAACATTAAAGTTTTCATTTGCGACAATAGTTTACATCAATGCTCAAAATTCATTAAAGTTGAATATTGGCGGTTTGTGCAAGGGTACAATTTCCGACAAAATTATTTTCAAGGAGATACGTGGAAACACGGATACGGATGAAAGGTGGTCAGATAAAGCACGTGCGGACAACAGTGAATTTCAAAGGACCAAATATTTATTTGCACCAACCAGAGGCGTAAATAGAACGTTAATTGGGGGAGGGTGCATATTCATATATTCAGTTGTGCCCTAATGATTTCTTTTGAAATTTAACTTAATTTTAAAAGAAATCAGTAGGGTACAACTGAATATATGAATATGCATCCCCCCCCCCTCTCCCCTCTCAATTAACGTTCTAGTTATGCCTCTGCCACCAACTAACAAACTGCTTCAAAAAATCGAATGAAAGTGTTTATAATTTGGCGTAAAACATTTAAATAATATATGCCAATACAAAATCAAGCGTATCAATCAAACCATTAACTTCTAATAGAAAGATAAAGGCTAGCGAAAGGTCAGTTTTGTCCTCCTTAATGAATGCAAAGGTACAAACACTGTTGTCCGGAAAATTTTGACTGCGGAAGTTAAGGTATCAATTATGTTTATTTGAATGGTATTGAGCATATATACTCGAGTCTTGAAGTCTCAAAATGAAATAAAATCACTGCCCATATCATAATTCCGCTAATCTTCTCTCAATTACATTGCAGGCTCATTATTGCCTCCGTATTATGCTTATCAACTTCATATTAAATAAAAATGGAGGGAGGAAAACCGAGAGTGAATGTATCTACACAAGATTTGGCTGAAATGTTAGAAATAGTCCAGAACAAGCTAACAAGATTGGACACAATATCTAACCCAGATAAAATTTATTGTTTACTTTCAAGAATAGATATGATCAAAACCAGAGTTATCAGTCTGTGTCTCGATAGGTTGTTTTTGGAATTGCAAAACACGGCTTATAAATGCCTTAATGAGGTAACTGCGTTTGCATATTCACCATGTGAAACACGAAGTCGTTGCGACCTTCAATCGATGTTAACAAAGAACACGTTAGCTTTCTTCTTGAGCAAAATTTTAAAGTGGCTGAAATTTAGCCGAATCACAAGAGTCGGAAAACAGACGCTGGAAAGGTAAATTAAATCACTTTGCTTTACTTGCAGAGATGCTAGTTATTTGAAAATATTGAAAGGCTCGTGGCATCTGCTTCAACTCCTTCCCCATTAATGACAGAATAGCTTATTCCCAATTTAAATAAAATTGGGAAGAATACTAAATAAATGAAAACGTACAATAAGATCTTCCCCTCACTATCTTGCAGTTATCTTCTTCCCAACAAGTGATTTCATTCTCATTTCCAGCGTCCGTTTTCCGACTCCTGTGATTCGGCTAAATTTCAGCCACTTTAAAGTTTTGCTCAAGAAGAAAGCTAGCTTGTTCTTTGTTAACATCGATTGAAGGTCGCCACGACTTCTTGTTTCACATGGTGAATATGTAAACGCAGTTACCACGTTAAGGCATTTATAAGCCGTGTTTTGCAATCCAAAAACAATCTATCGAGACACAGACTGATAACTCTGGTTTTGATCATATCTATTCTTGAAAGTAAACAATAAATTTTATCTGGCTTAGATATTGTGTCCAATCTTGTTAGCTTGTTCTGGACTATTTCTAACATTTTAGCCAAATCTTGTGTAGATACATTTACTCTCTGTTTTCCTCCCTCCATATTTTATTAATATGAAGTTGATAAGCATAATACGGAGGCAATAATGAGCCTGCAATGTAACTGAGAGAAGATTTGCGGAATTATGATATGGACAGTGATTTTATTTTAATTTGAGACTTCAAGACTCGAGTATATATGCTCAAAACCATTCAAATAAACATAATTGATACCTTATCTTCCGCAGTCAAAATTTTCCGGCAAACAGTGTTTGTACCTTTGCATTTCTTAGAACAGGATAAAACTATAATGCCGCGAATGCAAACTTTAATGTCGCAAATGCAAACTTTAATGTCACGAATGCAAACTATAATGCTGAAAATTGAGGCATGAATTTTGGCGGAAATGGAACGCCATATGCGTATGCTATAAAAAGGTATGCAAGATGTGCAAGCATTTAGGATCAGTTTTCAAAAGCACACGACTAACGACTAACGCAAAATTGCATAAATACACAGTATCTCAATTGTATATTGATGGATGAGTCAGTTTTTGTGTCATAATTGCGGGGGTCGTAAGATACATAACTTATTCTGCATGGCTGGATACTTTCTTTGTATTGTTTAGTGTATTCATTCCCTTTTTATAGTCTTACAAACTCAAAACATGTTTGCCATAAAAACATTTTTTTGTCTTCTTCGAATGTTACCAACAGAATTATACACTATAGAATTTTGGGGGGAAATTTGATAAAATTTAGATGGTAGCAGTAATCAAACATATAACATTATTTTTCTAGTTTTTAATCATGGGCGTGGACAGATCGACAATTTGGGGCAAGGGGTCATAATTGTTTTTGCATGATATGCCGTAATTGTTATATTATCAAACGTCAGGATCAATTTTGGTTATATGTCAAACATTATTGAACTGACCGTATTAAACAAGGAAAACATTTCAGTCGAAGGTTATACGTACTTTCGTTTTCGCTTCTGTGTTCTGAACATGAAATTGAGCGTTCCAACCTCAATCTAATCTAAACATATAAGTGTAGTTACATTTTGTGGTAGTTGTTGTGAATTCATCGGTGATACTTGTCTACAGAATTAAGCACTACTCTTTCAAAACTTGTGGAAACTGCCTAAACATTTTACTGGCAGTCATTGCACTGGCAGTCATTGCATTTATATTTGTTTTATCTTAGCTTAAAAACAATTTGATAATAATTTGAAACTGTTTTTATAACTATAAGCAACTAAATCTCCAACATTGGCGTGAATTTGAACCGTTAAGTTTATGAAATCTCGTCAAGGATGTCGTAATGACTGACGAGGTTGCTTCAGTTTTTTTAATGAGTGGTAAATTTAAAACGGGAAAATGAAGTTGCCGAGAAAATTGCGTATATATAGAAATATCCATCGATTTGAAATGATGCTAAAAACTAGCATCATTATTTTTGTTATTGAAAACAGCACTTCAGGAAATAAACCAATCATTTTATTATCACTCTTGTGTGACATAGTTAACAATACAATTCCGAGAAACCTAAATTTCTTACAATGATGTGAATTTCATGCCCCATATGCCCAATAATGCACAGTTTTCAAACTGCTCCTTAGAACACATAAAATGGTATGTTATCAAGCTTACAAACTAGCTAGCTGCATCATTCCATGTAAAACAGAAAAAAACTAAGAGTTACTTCAGCAAATTGCCAAGTAAAGGCGCTTGTACAACTTCTCTCGCAACTTGCTATCGCTGTTTATATATTGCGATACAAATTCGCACGCGAGGTTGCAAGGTGTGGATTCCCTTGTAATAATAAAGTCAGGCAATAATTGTGATGCAAGAAGTGTTGCATGAACTGGAATCTGTGTCTACTTATTGCAACAATTGCCACAGCGCTGCAACGTATTTTTAATGTGTTGTACTGTATAACGTCCTTGCATGATTTTGTGCAATGTTTTCTTCATTGGTCATTAGGAACTCGCTATCCGGCTAGGATCTAGGAATTTAATTAACTCTACAGCAAAATGTTTACTATTGCACAATACAAGTAGTATTGCACAGTGTAGCAACACAAGTTGCGAAACATGTTATATGGTGCAAAAACGCTTTAAACTGCTCGTATGCTAGAGAGTGGAAATTTTCTATCTCCAAAAACAGAAATATGTGGAATGCTTGCAACTAAAGAGTTCAAAACACAGTTTTCTTTTGAACTTCATACTTTGTTTTTGTTTTTGTATAACATTGGCTCACTTCCTATGACTGACATAAAAATCAGAGAATACTTAATTATTTATACTGCTGCGGATGAACTTCCTGTTAATCAAAAATACACAAAAGAAACGGGACTTTTGGCATTTAGGCTTCCCTGTCGTGTTGATAGTGTTCAGTATCCTAAATTAATTTTGATGAAGTTTTGTTTTTTTTCCAGATTTTGTCAAATATCATTTTGCGAACTATTTTTATTATTTATCAATGTCATTTTTACAGAGACAAATGGATTTTTCATCAAACATGTTCAATCAGGAAAGTGTATTAATGATACGGGGATGACGCTTTTTAGTAATTTTTATGGTATTGGTTACTATCTGAACCTTACTAAGAACTGTTTTGACTCAACAACTCAGTTTAAATTTCATCAATCTGGCTCCATCTTAAAACTAAATAGAAGAGGTTGTCTTGTGGGAGAAAGGAACTTACAAGAGTTGTTTTTGATATACGAAAAGAAAGGTGACATTGCTGCTGCTTGCAATGAAGCAAACGCCTTAACCCAAACTTTTCAAGGTGGAATATTCACTTCCGACTTTAGGAAATGTGCAGTACCTCCAGGATATGTTACACGTCATGTCTACATGGGAATAGCCAAATGTAGTGATGAAGAAGATCAGCGATTTCATTTTGGTAAGAAAATTTTTTTAATCTAATGAATGCATAAAATTAAAATCTTATTAAAATCCACCACAAATCCTTAGTTATATTGTGTTGGCATCTACATGCAAGGTCCCTGTTATCAGAAACTTTATCTTCATCAGATTCAAATTTGCTTTTACAGGATTTTACAGATAAGCGCGTACCGATTGTATTTTTTTTTGTTGTTTATTATAGGTTTAGTGGTATGTGCAGGACAAAAGATAGCGAACGCTAGATGTTCTAATAATCAATATATGGTAGTAAAAAAGGCTGAATATCGTGGATTGAGTAAAGGAAGCTCTTGTGGCTCGAGTTATAATTTCAGTTGTAGTGTTGATGTGACATGTGACCTTAAAAATTATTGTGATGGTGAAAGGGAATGTAATATAACTGTCGATGATAATCATTTTCCTTCGAATATTTGTCCTGGTTTGGAGAAATATCTTTACTTTGAATATCAATGTAATGACACAAGTATGCCACACAGAGAGATTTTTAATTGTAAGTATTATATAGGCAGATTATATATTGCTTATTATTAAAGTGTTTCGGGACAAGTTTTGACCTGAATTTTTCGTCGTTTGGTAAACATTCTTACACTGCGTATACCATTAATTTAGAAAATTTTGAAACATTTTTTCATTTTTGTCAGGTTTTTTCGTGAAAAGTAATTTGTTTATTGAATTTTATTATTTGTGTATAATCCAATTTATAGTGTCTTCATATGATTTGACATTTAAACTTGAGCTAAGTTTAACTATATATGGGCATTTTACATTTTTTAATGCAAACATCTTTTCTCACAGTATCTTTTATTTTTGAAAGTATTTGTACTAATCTGTGTTTGGCAAACAAAGACATTTACTTTTTCATCTACTATTACATAATTTTAAGAATTCATACCACTGAATTGTCGTGCACATATACATACAACGGTATATTTTTGTGAAGAAGCATAACACACCTGATCATTTGGATACACTTCTTTATTATCAGAGTTTGCAACACAAAAGTAGAGTTTAACACTACATGCGCTCATTGTTGACATAAAAAGTAAAATCAAAACGAGGCTTACCTTATTTAAATGTAATTCTATAAAACATTGTAGACCAAAAATCTTAATATTCGTCCATGGCCGCCCAAGTCCCTACATATTCGTAAAAAAATTATGGTTTAGTGTTCTCAGACTCTTAGTTCATATAGGCTATTGTCGACTGCTGCGTTATCCCGAAACTTAAACTTCATGTACATAATTCATTCGTCAGCAGGATTTGTAAACTTATGTTTAAAAAAACTCCACGGATTTCCCTTCGAGAAATACGCAATGTTCAATTTATATGAAAATGATTGTTTTGATTTGCGTAGTTCATGATGTAAGTCTGTCTCAGTTGAATCTACCCAACGAAGGTCTCGTGGATGTTTTTACCAAGTATAGAAACTTCACCATCTGCAACAATGGTCTTTTACGTAAAGAAAAGACAATTGTTTGTGAGCACTTCGGATATCCTACCGCAGCATCTTTGGAAGGCTCAAGGTCGTTATCGTCTTCGTTTATACCTGGAAATGTCAAATGTGATGCGCAAGTGTTCAATTTATCTCAATGTGCTATCACTCAAAATAATGATTGTTCTCAATACTCGTACGTAACATGTAAGCATACTCATTCATTCTTTTCAACATCTAGAGATATTTTAGGACACGTATGTATGATGGTAAAAAAACTGTGGCGCTAAATAATTTTCAATAAAAACATGTTACCTTTATCTTTAAAAATAACTCATCTCCATCATCATGACTTGCTCTAATCACTGTCGGGTTACTAGTTACGAGGCGAGTAGGCTAAGACTAAGTCGTGAACCTTAAAGTCACATCTATTCCTCCCAATGAGTTCAGTTGTTTAATGATGCTCGCTTTCCTTACACTCCTTTGCTTTTGCATTTCCTGGCTTTTGTTTGTAACCCATTTTGTAAACAATGAGGAAAATGTTGAAGTGAAATTTAAAAAATTATCAACACTGTCTAGGTAATTGGGAAAACCCATTACTTCATGGACTCTTAGCATCGCGCATTTAAACAGTACGAACGCCATTTTTCTCATTATCAAATTGCTCGTATGGTTTTCAATAGCTAAAATGGTCTAAATTAAGCACATTAATTAAGCTTTTCCGGAATAGCAAAATCTGTACACTAATTATGTCTTAGACTTTTGAAAATCCAGGTCTATAGGATTTAGCTTACTTATCCAGCCGGGTAAATCACTGCTGCTTACCTCGATTATTATTATGCTATAATTGTGAGTGCTTTTCAGTACTATGTGTTCATTTCTCTTTAGGTCATATTTGTGACAGGCCTTTATTAAATAACACGCATAATTTTCCAGACTCCTCATTTACTGCCTCGGCTTTAACAGAAGGTCATAGTGCTGCTAAAGGAAGAATATCCAGTGGCAGTTCTTGGTGTGCTCCTGCTGATGATGGCAATCATTATCTACAACTGAACTTTGAAAAACTTTATGCCATAAACACAATCGCGATCTTTGGAGACAATATAAGCCCAAGTTGGGTAGCTAGCTATTACGTGAACACTACATCTGATTTAAAAAACTGGAAATCAGTTTTTTGCACGAATTTACAGGTATTGTGTGTAAAACTGTCTTTGAAAAAGCAAAATTGTCACACGTTATGACCCAAATTTAAAATATCTTTGCGACCTGAATTTATTTGGTTTTTCTTAACGTAGCTTTTCAAAGGCAACAAAAACGCTTACAATGACGCTGCTATATCAAGCATCACAGGGGGTATTAGAACGAAAGCTTTACGGCTTATTCCGGTGAATTACCATGGTCGACCATGCTTACGAACAGAAGTTTGTGGTGGAGGTAAATATGAGTCTGGGAATTATGTTGTTTTTGTGAATCATTACGAAACAAATGAACACGAGTCACAAGTTTAATTTTTTGAAGTATGACGAAACTTTAAGTTAATGTTTTTAAGCCTGTTTTCAGATCTAAAGTTTTGTTTCGTTTGTTATGTTTACGTTTTTGCAGCTTCCGTGATTATCTACATACTAGTTCGGTTACTGAACACATTTCAGTGACTAATCACTGAATCGCACAGTTTGCTACAGTAACTAAACACAATACAACCCGTTTACTGCTAAATGTTTTAAAACATTTATTTTTCGGATAAAACACAATTCAGTGATTTTCAATAAACTAATCATACCCAGACATTTTTAGTTGGCAGTTGGAATAAACGACAACCTTTCGTAATTTAATACAAACGTGTTTAACTACGTACAAAAGCCATCTTCAAATCAAATAAATATACAAATAAAATTTAAAGCGGGAAATGTACAACATAGAACTATGATACAAAAGACGTAAAACGCAATGACGACATTTATGTTATGTAAGGTACAGATTTTTTATGAATTTTAAATTCTTTAATTAGGAGGTAGAAAGTAGATAGCATAAGTTTCGTCATGCTTTAATCGAACTTTTTCTTTCGACTATCGTCTTCGAAAGCTCTAATAGCTATTCATATTTTTTTGAAAGATTTTTTTCTGCATGTCGTATTTATCAAAAAAAATATGTTGTTTAAGGACTCGGAGATCCGTACACAAATAATTTTTTTCATGAGGTATTTTTCACTTTTTTAACAAAGAAATTAGCGTTCTAAAATTGCCGTTGCTTGATGTTGGTATTAAAATTGAATTCTTTCCTACAAATTTCACTTCGTCCGGATAGCAATCTTTGCTCTTGCTATGAAAACTACCTTCTGAATACATGCTTTCTTCTTGAAAAATTTACATGCTTTTAATACGATTTAAATGAACATGAGTCACAAGTTTATTTTTTGAAGTATGACGAAACTTTAAGCTAATGTTTTTAAGCCTGTTTTCAGATCTAAAGTTTTGTTTCGTTAGTTATGTTTACGTTTTTGCAGCTTCCATGATTATCTACTAGTTTGGTTACTGAACACATTTCAGTGACTAATCACTGAAAAACACAATTTGCTACCGTAACTAAACACAATACAACTCGTTTACTGCTAAATGTTTAAAAATATTGATTTTTCGGATAAAACACAGTTCAATGATTTTCAATAAACTAATCATACACAGACATTTTTAGTTGGCAGTTTGATTAATAAACTACTATCTTTCATAATTTAATTCAAACGTGTTCTACTACCTACATAAGTCTTCTTCAAATCAAATAAATATACGAATAAAATGTAGAGCGGGAAATGTACAACATAGAAATATAATATAAAAGACGTAAAACGCAATGACGGGATTTATTATGTTAAGGTACAGATTTTTTATGAATTTAAATTTGTTAATGAGGGGGTGGAAATGGATGACATAAGTTTCGTCATGCTTTAATGGAACATTTTTTACGACTATCGTCTTCGAAAGCTCTAATAAACTTTCGTATTTTTTTGACAGTTTTGTTTTTGTATGTCGTATTTATGAAAAAATGTTATTTAAGAACTCAGAGATCCGTACATAAATAAATTTTTTCACGAGGTATTTTTCACTTTTGTAATGAAGAGTTCTAAAATGGCCGATGTGGCTTGATGTTGGTACTAAAATTGAATTCTTTCCTACAAATTTCACTTCGTACGGATAGCAATCTTTGCTCTCGCTATGAAAAATACTTTCTGAAGACATTTTGCTTTCCTCTTGAGCAATTAGCACGGCTTTTAATCGATTTATATTGCACTTTGAGAAAAAATAAATTGAAAAAACCATCACATTCAGACCACGCTTAAGATGTCATAGAAAGCTAACCGCTGCTGCAGTTAATCATATTGCAGAAAATCAAAAAATATCTCTTCGGATGTATAAATAAAAAAGTAAATGGTTTATTTTACATTTGTTCACTTATGAAAACCCCACTGTATTTGATTGCTATGGGGCTGAATTATGTAATTGTTTAAGAATACAGTAACATGTATTAATGCCTTGGAGTGCATTTTCATCATTGTCTTTTTCATTTGTTTTAGAGATTTGCTATGATAAACAGTTACAATAACTAATCGTGTATATATGTATGATGGCTGGAATAACTTCATAGAAACAACTTCTGATAACGGTTGCCTTCTATAAACAAACAAAATTCGTTTATATTTATACCAAACTAACTAAATATGTAGTTCTCTTTCTTATGAATATTAAGCTACTGTTTGCTTTGAAGTAGAATAACCGTAGTGCTTAGCAAAAAAGTCCAACAAAGGCTGTTTTCGGTGCAAACAAGAGGAAAAACATGTTTTTCAATGCATGACCGACTTATGTGCCTTTTCACACATTACTTATACTTGAACGTTCATTAAGTAGTCTGACTTGAGCATTTGTCTTTGTCGTAGAATTGCTTCCAGGCCAACCGACCCATCTCAGAGTCACTTCCACCACGTCAAGAAATGCTAAAGTATCCTGGATGGCACCCAAAAACGTTGCTGTGACACCTGGTACTGGTGTTAAAAATCCTCTGACAAACTTCAGGCTGGTTCTAAAGAAAAAAATGAAGGTCATTTCAAACAAAACTGAGCCGTCTAACGTTGCTAAGCCTTACATGTTCCGCCATCTTATTCCTAACACAATTTACATGGTAGATGTAGCCGCTGGAAACTCTGAAGGTTTTGGAGAACCAGCAATTTTATCTTTCCAAACAAACGAGGATGGTAAGACCTTGCTTTCATAATGATGATTTTGTGTTGTATAATAAGGGTACACTTAACACAAGTGACAAGGGCATAGTCAATTTTTTGCAGCGTGTAACTGCTGTGTACTTTTATTTTAATAGTATAACATTTTTCTAGTTTTTAATATTTTTTTTCGTTACCAAATAGTTTTGTCAAATCAGGATTCATGGATGTACCACATACCATGAGTTACAGCAAAGCAATGAGATCGCCTCGTTTTCTTACTCATACCCTCAAAATAGGATCTATAGCCGAAGCAAACGAACACAAGCACATGTGATTATATACTCCATATTCTTCTCCACTTAGACAGCAAAATGTCGAAAACATCATATTCTTCCATAATTCGTCTACATGATCAACTGTGAAACTTGGTGCTATATATATTTTTCTAGTACCTGATGGTCCTCCTTTGAACGTCACAATCTACGTCATCGGCGATACATCGTTGTTAATCACGTGGGAATCACCAGCTGAAAACAAAAGAAACGGGAAGATTGTCAATTACACCATTTGTATAAAACAAAGTGGGGATTTCCCATGTTCTGGAAACTTTTCTACTGAAGACCAAAGTTTCAGGATAAATGACTTGAAAGCAGCGACAATGTACGATATCCGCGTTTTGGCCAGTACTAGAGTTGGTCGTGGAAGCTACAGTGAAAAACAAATGGCGAAAACAAATACATGTACGTAAGTTAGTTGTTTTGATAAAATTCTTTCGCTTTGTTCATTTACAATTAGTCGTATTCAAAGACATATCAAATAATATAAAAATTATAGTTTCAGGGCGTTCTAATGTGCCAATGAACTCGACAGGAAAAACATTGACGTTTTCTTTGAAGATTCCTTCAAGAAAATTTAAGTAAGTTGTTGTTTGTAAGGTTTTCGTTGTACGTTTTGCTACAGATAACATAAATAAGAAGTATTTTATCGATATGCAAGTGCATGTTAGCTACATCTACAACGTTTTGAACAGATCTTGCCTTGTCTACAATATTTTTTAAATGATCTCGTAAGTCCCAAAAACTGAAGAACTTCATCATAAATAAGTTCTTTATCAATTATAAAATCTGGAGATCGAAGTGTTTAGATCATATAAATTGTGAAAATTGAAGAGTTTATTATCACAACTTAGTTATGGGAATTTTAAGGGTTCTTTTTCACGTAGAAGTTGTCGAAAGTTGAAGAGGTCTTTGTCACGTATGGTTTGTAGATGGTGAAACGTTTTTTTATCACATACGGGAGAATTTAAAGACAATTTCCGTCAATGGACGAATATATAAAACTGATTAGGCATTTCGTTCATCGAGACCATGTTTATGGTTTTTAGTTATTCTTATATAAACCATACAGTTTTTTTTAGTATGTATTAATATATTTTTTGAAAACAATGTTATTGTTTGTCTCTTCAGGTATTTCTTTGTCGTTGCTATGGAAGATGACGGACAACGTCTCCCATCGACTTCTGAATTGAAAATGGAAAACTTTGTAAGGTATTCGGCAACACTCTCACAATTTAAACCTTATATCGCTGCAGTACTGAAACCCAGAGATGATGGTTTATTTGTACTTGGTGATGGCTCAAATACAAGTGTTTCGGGAACACGAAAACGACGCTCCGCGGATATTTTTTTTAACGGTCCCCTTAAAGCTAATTCTAGTTATCGAATTTTCCAACATGTTGTGATTAATGATAAGGTAATTACTGAAATTCATCACGTTCTTATTGATTGTATAGGTGTATTGATTATTTACATAATTATATAAATATTCATGACGAGTATTATGTTTATTTTTTCTTCAAGTTTTATGTAACTTGTTTTAGGGTGCTTCTTATTCAACTGATTGGAGTGCTGTGGGAAGAACAACTTCAGAACAAATCTCAAATCCATCTCCAACCATAGGTAGGTTGCTTCACAGTAAATTCCAGGTCAATCTCCAAACGAAAGCAGGTTGCTTTAGAGCAATTCCCAAGTCTATCATGAACTGCAAGTAGGTCGAGGCTTGTTTTATCGTTTGGTTGGTGTTGTAATTAAGACTGAAGAGAATACTATACTTTAACCATACGACGTTTGCGTTTCTTGTTGTATAACGTGTGCCATCTTAAAGTTATATTTCACATATTATTTCGAGTCTCGATCTAATAAGCAAGAATCGTTTTAAGTTTAGTTTCATTCAAGGAAATGAAATCATTTGACCCTGGCTTTTGATGACAATGCTATCATTTATGTGCTGCCTTATCCAAGTAAAGATTTGTCAATTTGAAATTAATGCAAAAAGGAAATTGCTGTTTATGAAAGGCAGCAATACACAAGTCAAGTTCTATATCATGAAATTGCATGTTTAAAGGACATGGGGTCTTAGCTAAATAGGTTGACTTTAGCTACTAGCCCTGTGATGTATAAGCACTGGATTATTATTCGAAAAAGAAAATTAGCTAGAAATTTTCGCGTGGCAGTCTACACTCTTTTGAGTGCAAAGATCAATTCCTTATGTTATAGACGTTAGAAAAGACGACAAGAACAATTCTTCAGTTATTATTGGTGCAGCTGTTGCCGTCGCTTTTGTTTTGATAATCATTTTTGTGATCGTGATGGCTCTTTTAAGAAGGTAGAAATGGTTTAAATTATACTACGTCTTTATGTTACACATTATTTTGAGATATCATTTACGCAATTGCAATTTGTTATTCTAACGTTTCGTTCTGCTACTAGAATTGAATTAAACGCCTTTTTAACATCGAATAAAATGACATAAAATTCTTTTCTTGTGGGGTGGTGAATGGTGGCTCCGTCATTGTAGGGGTTTTAATCAAAAATGGCTATATATTTATTTGAATAATTTAATCGATACTATAGTAATCATCCCCCGTGTTGTCCTTCTGTTACATTAACTTATTTGTTTTTTTTTTATCTTGTCTTGTTCAATCAAACCAATAAACATGAAGGGAACACCTCGAGGAAAAGGCTCCACCGCTATAAAATTGGAAGCCTTCCATATTCAAAAAAAGCTGATCTGAGTCAAAAGTCAAAACACACATAACTATATTTATTTCAATCACTTACAAATCTAGGGAATGTTGTAAAAACATGGACGGCTTTTGAATTGAAGTGTTTCATTAAAACGATCTTTAAGACCTAAAACTTTAAAAACGAAAATTTTTTTAATAGGTGTAAAACTGTTGTTACATGCTCTTAAGTAAAGTTCTGCGCACGGAAAATAGTAATTAGAAAAACATTTCAAATAAGATGAGTCAAATTATGCATTGTGTCGCTTGCACAAGCTTTCAAAATTTCAACTGCACGTGCAAGGTAATGTGTGAGAGTTTTGAAAATTGGATTTTTTTGTGTTTTCCTTTTTCAAACTAGGTTTTATTACATCATTTAAATTAACTTTGTGCACTTTCTAATAGCCAATATGAAATTTACAAGCAAATCTAGCTTCACTGTGCTCTTTATATGCTAGCTTTTTGCGCTGTTGTGTAACACACATTTTTTGTAGAAAACGTGATGGTAAAAAGGAATCTAACAAATTTCTGTCGTCAGATGATAAAAGAGATAACGTGCAGGAAATGTCCGTTAGAAATGAAATGTTTGATGATGACATTGTGAATAATGTTGAACCACCGGTGAATAACAACAAGGATCTTAGCAACCTAATTACTGACGACGAAGAACCATACGCAAACAATGAATGTAAGTGGTTTGCAACATCTTGATGTTTCACAAATTTGCTCTTGTTTCTTAGATTGTCAAGGACGATCAGTCTTACTTTTCCAATAGCTAATAATTGCACTTTATGTAACGGGCCACATTCCGAATAGTTTAGAAATTGGAGTTGAATTGGGTTTCAAATTATTTTATTTATGATATCAAATTAAGATTACTATTGGGCATACTACCAAAGCATTTGATACATTTACTTATTTAGACTTGTAAGTTCAATATATTTCTAAATTGTTCTTGTAAAAGAGAACGGTCTCATTCCTATGCACAAAAAACGAGTGATAATATTTGTTGCTTATTTCTATTGTGAGAAGCTAAAATTTGCTAAGTTATCTTCATAATTACCTTTGAGCTTCATATTATTTTATTGTGAAGCAATCCCAATCTTTTAGCTATTATCTTACTAAGGATATAAATATCCACAAAACAATTGGTTTTTTAAAACAATGTTTCAAGTGTACAATTAAACGTTTTAGTGAACACTCGCAGATAGTTTTGTTATTTGTTCTTCAAATATGTATAAAATTACTTGAAGTTATGAGTTATTGTTATTCTGCTAGTAGAAAACATCTGTCTTTATATTGGTATCTGTTACTTATGAACATTTGTCAAAGGCCTTCTTGTTTTCCTTTATCTTTTAGTCTGTTACTTATAACTATCACTGTGTTAATTTACCAAGAAAGAAGTTGCAGAAAATAACTTTCTTAAGAAATGAATCCTAAATTATTCCTTAAAAAAGTCTAATTTTACACAAATGTTCTGTTTCTTACAGACTTAACTGTGTTTCTCTTTTTTTAGCCATTGCGATTCGTAAACATTTTCCAATTCCTATTGCAAATTTTACTGCACACGTAAAGAAGCTGAGACAAAAAAACATGCATGAATTAAAGCTGGAATTCGAGGTATTGTGTTTTACGAGTCACCTTCTATTGACAACCAAAAAATAATTTTTAACATAAGCCAGATTAGAGTGTGTCTTTATCTTTAAACAATCATGAGAATACTTCAGGTAAATCTAAGAGACTCAACTAGAGTGTATAGAGGACTCGCGTTTCAATCAAATTAAGTAATGAGTTGACCACACTTACTCAATTTAACCCAGGATTTACCGAATGGTCAGAAGAGCAACTGGGATATTGCCAAAAGTCCTATGAATTCTTCCAAAAATCGATATGGAAACGCAATCACATGTAAATATTTTCCCCCTTGATACGTAGTAATGACAAAAACATTGACAAATTACAAATTCATTCAGCACTAAACATCATAATGTTTACAAACCTAGCTTCAAATGTCTTCGTACGTAATGAAAAATGGCTGTCTTGTGGACGCAAAAAACGTGAAATGTCTGGTTAAAAACGTGATTTTGTTTTTTAAAGATAACCATTCTCGCGTGATACTCTCTGGTGACGAAAAAACGGATTATATCAATGCTTCATTCATTGACGTAAGTGCCTTTGAAGACAGTTATTTGCTTTCAATTCAATCGTTAATTAATAATGAAGATTTGCTCTTTTTTTAACTTACATCTTTCTTTAATTTTGCAGGGAAAACGTGCGAATTACTACATTGCGACGCAAGGTATCTGGATTATTGCAAATCCCAACAGCCTGTTACTAGCGAACACTTCACGTGTCCTTAAGTGTAGTTAACAGTTATATTGCTTCCTTATTTTTTGTTTATTGTAGCCTGCAAAAAACAATTTTCCTTCTTCATCTTGCAGGACCCAAACCCAAAACAGTCAACGATTTCTGGAGGATAATTTTCGAGCAAAAGTGTCCAACTATTGTTATGTTGACAACTTTAAAAGAAATGGGAAAGGTGGGAAAGTAGTTGTTTATCATTTTACGGAGGATTTCGATCTTTCATCTATTTTTATTTCTTCCTACAGGTGAAATGTGAAAAATATTGGCCAGATGAATCTAATGTATATGGTGAAATTCAAGTGACCGTCACTGAGACAAAAACGTTTGCTGACTACGTCACGCGCATGATGGTTGTTGAAAAGGTAATTTTCTCATTTCCAGTCTCTATTGCTGTTGATGCCCGTATATTTATGTTTCCTTGACGAAGATGTAATGCAGAACAGATTCGATCAGTTTCGTCAGAAGAATGTTGTCATGACCAGATGAGTATCATATAGTTATGAACAGACCTAGTTTATGTAATCATTTTTATGGTCATTAATGACTGCGTTTAATTAACGAACGAAAAAAAGTGCACCGATTAAAGTTCCGTGTCAGTAGATGTTGATCGTTCAGGTTAGGGCAGTTCTTGAAAGAATTGTTGTTGTTAGTGTTGCCTCAAATTTCGGACATGCTTAGCAGTTGTCGTTTTTACTAACGCCATCAGTCGTTGCAACTGCGCCTAACTTTGTCTCCTCATCTGACACTGAAGATGAATACTGCTAAGAAAACGATGTTGCAACGTCCATCATCACCAGTACTAACATCGACATAAACAGTCTGTCTCAGGACTGCACTGAAGAGATCGGAGGATTCAGGGGCATATATCATTATAGGAATTCTAAAAAATCTTATTAGAACTCGGTGAAAGATTAAAGATTTTAATAAAGAACTTCAACTACGTTTTGAAGACGTCAGTGAAGAATCAAGGTCTTTGAAAATAGATTTTTCATCAAAAGTTTACCTTAACCTTAATCCTCAAGAGGCCGTTGTTGCCTTACGGCAACAAACGAGATATGCACAAACTTTTCATAAGGTCCGGCTCCTGGAGTGTTAAAATGCATTCACATTTTTTGTAGGACAAAACATTTCTAGTTGGAGCATACATTGTCTTCATGCTTTTTTGTTTTCAAAGTTACTTCATCAATCCAAACTTGACAACCTAAAGCTAATCTAAACAGAAAATGATGAACAAAATGATTTACTTCTATAGAACGGCGAACATCACGAAGTGGAGCAGTTTCACTACAAATCATGGCCAGACTATGGAGTACCTCGTTATCCAACACAACTCTTGACATTCAGGAACCATTTTAAGCTATCGCACAAAACAAGATCCAGTCCAGTCGTCGTTCATTGTAGGTTAGTTGGTCTATCATAATAGGGTGAGTCCAACTGTTACATATTGTATAAAAATTTTCATAAAATATTGATCAATGTTGTGGAGATTGTTTTGTTAGGAACAGTTTGTCATTCTTAATTTTCTTCCTTCTTGATGGTGGCAGAGACCTACTCACTTTCCAAATTTCCTAAAGATTTTAGTCATCATCGTCATTGATGAACGAGTAAATTCTTAAAGAAAATCATTTGCTTCCAATTTGAGCATTTTCCAACAAAATGTTTTGCAATAACACCTTGAATGTGTTATTTAGTGAAAACAGAATTGTGTTTTTACTCATCCTGATTTTGCTTTCTTGTTCAGTGCTGGTGTTGGTCGTACTGGAGTATTTATTGCCATAGATAAAATCCTCGATGATCTTGATGATGAATATGAAACAAACATTGACGTATTTGGCTTTGTAGAAGAGATGAGATCGCGCCGCATAAACATGGTGCAGACAGCGGTAGGTCTTTATGGAAAGATCAGGACAAACAGCATTGATCGAGTATCTTTAGTTTAATTGTTTTGTGGGTAAACTGACTCAAACCTTTAAAGCAATTTTGAAAGCTCATGAGATCAATTTTTTTCCAAAACGATGATTCCAGGATTGCGACAAATCTTATACATTTATTATTTGCTTGACAATCAAGGATCAATACATGTTCATTCATGACACCATTATCGATCACATCCAATGTGGAGCGAATGAAATTGATGCTGTTCAAATCAAGGTCGAGATTGCGCAGCTCTCTAAGAAGAATAGGGGAGGGAAAACTGGATTTGAAGAAAAATTTGAGGTTTCTTCTTTTTTTTTACATTTTTTATGCTAATGCTATTCTTATGTATTTAAAGACTCCAGTTTTAATACCAAATCTTTTCTCGTAAAGACAGACGTGTGGTATCTAAGGACTATAGTTTCAACTTTAAACCATTCATACGTGCTCAAGGAATTTTTTTTCACGTCAAATCATAATGAAGCCAATTTATGGCTGTATACATCAGTGCTCAAGATTCGACATCACATTATTCGTGGTGAAGACCTTACACCAAACTATACATAGGCTAAACATTTAACATCATATTACTCTTGACGACAAAATAATCCATTGTTTCTTTTCCAGCGTCTACAATCAGTTACACATGGACTTCCTGAAGAACTTTGTGAAGCAGCACTTTCGGAAGAGAATAGCAAGAAAAATCGTTATCCTACAATCTATCCAAGTATGTTACGCACATGCAAAAATATATCGTGCTATTTATTGACATTTATGCAAAGTAAAATACGCGCTCCTGTTTAATGTAGTGAATATTAAGAGCAGTGTTTTTTTTAAACTTTGCTTCTTTTTTAGCTGAAACTAATCGTCCTACTCTTCGGCGTGTTGAACACTTAGAAACTTCTGATTACATAAACGCATGTTTTGTTGATGTAAGTAGCTGTTCAAACATTTTTAAAAAAGTAATTGTTTTTATTAGCAACGAAAGTATTTTGGCCATTAAAACACGATAACAGTTACCATTATACAAAAAACCCAATTTTTGTTCCTAATTTGTGAAAATGAACATAAAAATGGCTTAAAAACTTTGTCGATGACTTTTTTAGGGTTATCTTGGCAAGAATTACTTCATTGCAACACATATGCCTTTGAAGGCAACAATCAACGACTTTTGGAGAATGGTCACTCAATATAAATGTACGACCATCGTTTTGCTGAATCAGCTAACTGAAGATAACAAGGTGTGTGTGACGTTTTCATGAATAAAGGAACAATTTCTTGACCCTTGGATAAGCAGGATTGATCAGTGGGGAAGTCACGCTTATTAAGTCTGTTTAACTTGTGGGAGAGGGATCAAGTATAGCAACCTGTACTCATTCTTCATTGTCTTGCATTTAACGCTTCACTTGTATGAATATAATGTTTACTGTTTTTTGTTTCATTTAAACACATTCTATGAAAACGCATCGATAAAATTGAAATTTTAGATGAAACATACTTTGAAAAATAACATCTTGTAAACTCGAGACGTGACCTTTTTTAGAACAAAACAAAACAACAATTTGCTTTGATATTTTGACTTCATTTTAAAGTCGTAATGAAAAAATTTTATCGTAAAAATTTACACTCAGAATGAAAAATTTATTTAATCACGCTATAGAAGGAGAGGCATAGTATAAGATATCCCGTAGTAAAATGTTGCATCATAATATTTACAGAAATTGTTATAAATAATAATAATAATGGACTCCGTCGGTTTCGACGTATGAGGGTTCCACAAAGTGGAACATCCTGGTTACTTAAATTATAGTGAAGGCAGCTGACCAGACTACAATCACTCGTACCTTTCACGCAACTACAACGCTGATATCAGCGTGACACACAGTGGGACAAGGCTGCAACATTGCAGATGCAGATACAGTCCATCCGAGGATTTCCTCTACCAAATTTCCCTCACATGGCTTTGGTCAACCCGGGCTAGGTTTACAGACACATTGCCAGATGTGCCACGAGCCGGGATTGAACCCGCGCCGTCTGGCTCACAGCTCACGCATTAACCATTCAGCCACCCGCCCCGTCAAATTGCTATAGACATTATGCACAGAAATTGCTATAGACATTATGTGAAGAACTCGAGTTATTTAGACTCCCCTTCTCCAATATTTAGCGGAGGTTATCTGTACTTTGTGGATAATGCTTCAAGGAAAAGAAGATATTGAAATTCGTGTGTTTTTTAAAAGGGAAGAATTCGAGTGTTAGCGTTAATGAGATGAGGGAAGGAAAGTGATGTGCCAAATAGTATCTTTATTTCTGTCGTTGAGGTTGTCAAAAAGATTGTTTATATATTCAAATTATTGTTTGGTGGATGCTGATTTGGAATTCTTAATTCTCTATTAAACCCGAGGAAGCAATAAAAAATATCAAAATTGACACATGACCTTATGCTTTCGGAGCATGTTGTTATTTCAATACTTTTTATATAATACCCTGTTCCTATCATGCTTTCAACGTATTGTACTCTAATGTACATTTGTGCTCAACTATTTGTACACCAATGAAAGGCATTATAGTTATCCACCTTTGAACTTATTAGGAATATCCGATGTTTTGGCCCACGAAGAGAGCAACAAGTCGACCTTATGGAACATGTTCTGTTCTGTTCGATTCAGTCGTAAAGAAAGAAGACATTGTTGTGAGAAAGCTTATAGCCTCACCATCGATGGTTAGTATATTAATGATTGTGAAGGACACTTATTCTTATCATAACAATGAAATAAGCTATTTTGATGATTTTATTTTATCATACGATGAGAATCTACAATGAAAATATTTTGTAGTTGTCTTTTCTCGCTCGTACAAAAAACTAAGATCAGTTGCGACTATTGCTATATGAACAATAAGGAATGCATTCACGAAGTTCTGTCCTTTAACACAAAACTTTAAACTTGTATTATCACCATGGCACCAAACCAAAATAAGCGTTGCAAACTGTAGTAAGCTTAATTGGAATAAATTTTACTATCAACGTCTTTAGCAACTTGGTGTCAAGTGAACGATTTCATTTGTTACGGTAAAAAATTTGTCAAAACTTCAATAAAACCTAAAGCGATTTGTTTTTTTGCATAGTTATATTTTTCAAGTTTTTTGTCGTACCATTGTATTGTATTTGCTCCGAGTGGTTTTAAACGCATGTAATGCGACCTTGGGTTTTTTGATCATCGTGTAACCGTTTACAAACTACACAAGTCCTCTTACACAAAGCTTTTGGCTATAGTTTAAAATAATATGAAGAGAGCTTTTTAAATGTTGTGTGTTTTTAAGAATTAATTTTGTATACGACTGAAGGTGTTTCTTTTCCCTGCTATAATGGATTTGTAGACTTCACACACGTCTTGTCGAACAACAATGAAATAGGTTTACAACTAAGCGCAAAAATTTATTCTGTAGGACATCAAAGAAGGTCAAATGGTTCATTTAATTCAGTATTTGTCGTGGCCAAATCATGGCGTACCTAAAGATGTTCGCAGTTTGTTGAATGTCCTTTCAGAAGTTGAAGAAGCCCAAAGAGCCGTAGAGGACAAAGGACCTGTTGTCCTTGTCTGCAGGTATTGTACCAGATATTTTTTATTCAAAGACTCTCTCTAATGAAATTCGTGAACTATGCTCACAATGCGTGTTTTACAACTGACCAAGTTATTTAATTAAATCGTTAAAAGTAAAGCGGAAGTCTAACTGATTTTAATGGTTATTTCACATCATATGCTAAATTTTGTGCAAAAAATTCTGTTCGTTCTCGTTGTTTGTTTTTAGCTACAAGCAGACTTCAGTAGAACATTCCTTCATTTAACAAATATTAATTTCTTTTCAATTAGTGATGGAGCAGGTAGATCAGGCACCTATATCACCATCTCTAACCTTGTGGATCGAGTTAAAATCGTTCAAGTGATCGATGTGTTTCAGTGCATAAAGTTAATCCGAAATGCGCGCCCACAGTTTGTTGAGACAGCAGTAAGTGTCATGGACAATCTTTCAACTTTCATGTAGAATTTCATGTCTATGACATTAAAATTTTATAAATCAAATGAACATTTTCATGCATTTAAAGGACACATGCAACATAAAATTCGGATTGTTATTTTTGTACTTTACATAAAGGTATAGCTCCAACTTATAGTTCACCAAAGTTTGAGACTCAAAGGATAAATATTTTTGAAGATATGGAGGTTTAAAGTTGATGCTTTACTGATAACGTATTAAAAATGCCCGACGAGCTAACGACGGCTACCGATTGGAAAAAGGTCGTTGTGACGTATTAGTTGACATTAGCTAAACGCGGTCAATTGCGCGCTTCATCAAAATATATTGGTAACTTCTTTGCCTGCATCAACAGCACGACAATTTAGCATTGAAAATATGGTTTATTGTGCTGCATTTAATTATAAAAACGGTTCTTCTAAGAACCATCAAACGCAGCAAAAGGTTTCTTTTTTCGTTTCCCGAAAACAAGCGCATGCGAGATATTTGGATTGAAAAAATCCGACGCAAAAATTTGAAGCCAACAAAGAGCTCAAAATTGTGCTCGCAACATTTCGAAGTTCGTGCTTCGTGCAAAATTTTGAAGCGATGCAATCAGTAGGATGGACAGCAGGACGGCTTCGCTTTAAGAAGGATGCTGTATCCACGATTTTTGAATACTCTGTGGAACCCACAAGTGTAGCATCTAAAAGGAAGCAGCCAACAAATGTTAGAACTGTATTTGAGAAGAGACGAAGGCGAGAGGTGATTATTATAGTTATAGTTAGCAATATTTGTTTACATTTATCAAAAACTAAGCTATATAGCATTACCAAATTGAGGACAATTTTATAATTTTAGATTATTGACGACGTTCTTGCAGAACATGACGACTTTCTTGTAGGCGACGACCACGATGTGTCGACATCGGCTCGAAATGTTTGTGCGTTTTACCTCAAAGGAAGTTTGTCTAAGATAAAGATGTCAATATATATGTAGACAGCGAAACACAAACATATACAGTGGTAACTAATTCAGACTAATGTCGTTTGATCTTTTCTTTGTTATTCTAACTCATAGAAAATTCCTTAACGTACCTTAGAAGCGCAATGTGAAATGCCAAGCAGCCATAACAATCCGTTCGCAAAAACACGTAAGGTCAAGAACCACTCAAACAAAAGTGCCAAATATGATAAGTAGAGGAATAGACTTTCCATTTCGGCCGTTTTGATTTTTGTGAAAAATCCAGTAATACGATAATTTTATCTAAAGGTTGAGTTAATTTCAACAAAAGATCATAGCACACAGACGACGTCATGTGAAATTGAACATTTTAAGGATAGCGCTGTATGGCCTGATACAGAAAGCACGTCGACGATGAGCAATAGCTACAATGGATCAGACTCTCACTCGTTTTCTTCACTCTGAGGCATAGGTCCAATGTCATGTGTGTACACGACCATAGATGTTTTTACGACAGCTTTGTTTGTACACACTGTGGCAAACTCTTCCTCTTGTGTGATACAAATATGATCGCCATGTATCAGAGGATCAGTATTGTTTACCTCTTGGCAACATATACTTTCCCGTCCTGTACTCATGACCACACAAAAGCCACACTCGCACCTAAAAGATAAAAACATTGTTTTTACTTTGGGAAAACAATGAAGCATCAATAAAATGCAACTAACCACTCAACATTTCCAATTCTGTGAATGTATTTATCTTCGCTTTCCGATGACGGAGAATTGTCATTGCTATGACCACCTTGCGCGTTGGCCAAAGGCTCAAACATGTAAGGTTGTACCTCATTGTTATTGATGACAATATCATAATCGGCATCTTCTTCAGAAGAATCCATTAATTTTTGATAAATAAAAAACAGTAATAGCAAACTACCGAAAGCCGTGCAAGCACTGCGTGCAAGTCGTAGAACGATATAAGAACGATGCTTGTTTATGTCAACTAATACGTCACTCTTTCTCAGTTCCCAGACTTAAACAATCTCACGGCGTTTTAGCAATGGTCATCGAATATCGTGTTTTTACCGATTATAACCCTAAATATCTTTTGAAATATTTTGCGGACGACTTTGAAACTTGGTATGTCTTATTTTCACGCTATAGGCATTACAATAAAATAAAGTTGTCTTCTAGCTTGCATGTGTCCTTTAAAGAAGTGTTTTGTATTGTGAAATTTCACTTCCACTTGTGCAAGTGAAATTTTATATGTTAAGTTTCGGTTTGTGTCGATTTTATATAAAATTTTCATTTTAAATTTTTCCATTAACTATATTTAATTTAACTTTTTTTATTTATTTAACAAGATTTCTAATGATTTGCCCTTGTTGTATTCATAGGAACAATTCAAACTCTGTTACAATGCAGTGTCATGCGTATTGGAGTCCTTCGACGAGTATTCAAATTTCACAGAATTAGCAAAAATTTGAGAATTAACTTTAACGTTTAACTTTAGTTTACACTCGTAGTACAAGGTAGGCATGCAATAATGTCTAGAATTAGATGGAAGTAAAATAAGACTTACAAATCTTAAATAGATGAATTAATTTGAATTTATCCTTATTGCATTGTTTAGCTAGCTAAAGCGGGAAAAAACATTCGTGTATATTTAGTTGTTAGAATCAGAAGCGAAGCCAGCCCGTTTTGTTTTTTTTTACTCCTGCAATGCAAATATTATTGTGTTCAATCACTGAAAAAAAAATGGAAATAATTTTCTAAAGAAATGAATAATAATTTTGCAGAGAAATTTGCATTGCGGTAAGAGTAAAAAATCGCCAGTGGTTAGTATTTATAACCACTTTTTTCTGTTTTATACGACAATATACGAGGCTTCTTAAATGTAATGAGTGGTCAAAGTTCTACGTAATATTGACACTTGTTCGTAATTTATAAACAATCTTGTGCCATCGATTTAAGGACTTTTTTACTCTAAATTTATTGGATTCTTTTAATTTTTTTACTGCGACCATAAATATTTACATTTGAACATTTGTCTTATCTCATCTCATGAAAATATTCTTGCTATATTTTATGTAGTAAATATTCAATAATAAAGAAAAATAAAAATTGGTTGAATTTCTTTTAAATTTAAAGGCACCTGATATTAGAGCATGCGCATTACACTCCAAAACTTGAAAAATCACTGATATATGTATATAGATTGAATAACGCAACCTAATTCTGGTGCCTAGAAAATTTTGGAGCAAACTTTTGACAACGGCGGCCATATTGGACTACCCACTTCTAATCTACATTTTATAATAAATCTTTTGTATTCTTGTTATTTTCTCTTTCAGAAATCATACCAAATCTTTTATTGTGATATTTAAGCAACGAGAAAAGATTTCTGTATTAAATTTAGCAAACATGAGTTTTAGCCCAAAACTGTTTGCAGTCTTCTGATCATAATAATTCCTTTCTGTCCCGAGAGTAAAACTTATGATCCAAAATAAATACGAGAGTAGCAGTTTGTTATATAAAACCTATATAAAAACTGAAAAAGTGTGGATAGTCCAACAAGTTTGAAAAACAACATGGCGGCATGCTTAAGACATTGGGCAAAGTAAATTTCGGGTACTTTAACAAATACAATTAATTTTCGCCAGTAATTTAGATGAATGCAGTTTAAAGTTAATGATTGGCTGTTTGATTTACCTTTTATGTAATTTTGAAACCTTTTTATTTACGACAAAACGATTCTATATTAGCCGTTGGCCCGTTGATAACAGTCTTCACTCAATAGCGGTATTTCAAAACTTGTGGGAAGGTGCACGGTGTCTTATATTTGAATTTTTGGTTGAATAACATGATTGGGTAATTGTTCAGCCTTTTGTTTTGAAACGCTAATCACATCTCTTTCTTCAACCAGACAATAGCTTTAGTCACTGACAATTTCTGGGTTTGAATGACCTGATCGAAACATGCGGGAATCGGGAATGTCTCAAAATACGAGCCCAAGGCGTGTGATTCTTATTTGGACTCGAGCAACACTCAAAAAACATGAAAACCATTAATTAGTTCTTTAAAAGAATAATTTAAAGCCGGTGAGTCTATTGTTGCAAGTGTTGTTTAAATAAGGGATAGAAAGCTAAATTCTCTCAAGCAAATGAAGCTGTAAATTTTGTATTTAAAAAAACCCAAAATATCCTTGATATTTCGTGCTTTCATATAGGGATTCAAAAGTATAGATTGCATCAAGAATTACGTTTGGAGCGTAGTTAAGTTGTCATTGCATATATATTGTTAAACCTTCTTAATGATTGTAAAATGATAGCTTCACAGCTTGTTTGTCGAATAGTTAAACATTTTTCACGTATTTCAGTGACCGTAAAGCCAAGTCATGTTACAAGTGCAGAGTTCATTATTCATTCTGGGTCAATGTTCCCATTTCTCGATGGACATAGGACGATACCTGAAATGTAACTGCATTTTATGTAGGGTTATTTGTCAGAAATGTAAAACTGCATGCAGTATTTATAAATTTCGAATGGTCCATCAAACATTCTCTTTTTTGGTTTACGTTTTGATAACAATTAACAAAAACATATATTCGTACATATGCACTTGTGCTATGATTTTTGAAACAAGGAGGATTGTTGTAATCTAAGAATTATAAAATCACGTTACTTAGGTCGCATAAAAGAAGAATTTGTTGCACGCTTTCAAATTTTTTTGTTTAAAATGTGACGCTTAGCGCATTAAATTCGTCGACACGAATCAAATTCGTCTTACTCCAATTATTCGTGCTTACCAGACGTGTAATGCGACAGAAATTTGTCCTTGTGTTAAACCCAATGGTTAAACACATAAACCTCGAATTTAGTTCGACGATTTTATTTCAATAATATTTTTATGATAAATTATTTCGACCAATCATAAAACTTGGCACTCATTACTAAGATGGCGGCTTGTTTAAGATGTATGAATTAGAGTAATCAAACAAAATGAACAAAATATGTTTGTAAAACGTGTAAGACGCCGATATACCATCGCATAGAAATCATTATTCCTGAAATCAACGAAGCTAGTGTTGGTTGGATACTTCATTGTTCACAATTGTTCATGTACGTATAGTAAAATATTTTAGTAATTCTCATTTCTGAATACGAATATAAATTGTGGCTTCCTTGTCGTCATTCCATAACTAACATTGCAGTTTTTATATACATTACGATTCGATTTTAGTCGCTGGCCAGAATTCCAGTAAACCAATAGAAATGTAGCAGTTCTTTAATGACTAATGAATAAAGGTTGAAGGTCTGATACATTCGAGTTTCAACAATGGCTGTGTAACAAATTACGCTTCTGGATTCTGAAAGTAACTTTACACATGCAGTAGAAAAAATTAAATTAACACACAAAGTGAATTAAAACTCGTCATACAAATGGCTCAGCGCATCCATAGAGGCATTGTACATCCCCAAAGCGTAATTATTTTCACAGCAGTACATTCTCGTGATACAAATTGCGGAATTTGTAGTTTTTTACGTAAATGATCTGCTTTAACATGTGTTGTCCGTAATCATATTTACTTCCGTGTTGACCTAAGTATATTCGACTCTCTATTGTAACATAAGTCAAGTACAACAGACACCTGTATCCTGTGTGCAATTTTTACGTATTTGAACGAATCAACGATGACGAAGGGAGTCAAACAAAATTGTCATTCGTTGTTAGTCGCGGTTATATTGTTAAGAAGATGAGATCGCGGCGCATAAACATGGTTCAGAAAGCGGTAGGTCACTTAAGAACATCAGGACAAACAGCATTGATCGAGTATATTTAGTTTAATTGATTTGTGGGTAAACTGACTCAAATCTTAAAAGCAGTTTTGAAAGCACATAAGATCAAATTTTTTTCCAAAACAAGGATTCCAGGTTTGCGACAAATCTTGTACATTTATTATTTTCTCATCAATCAAGGATCAATGCATGTTCATTCATGACGCCATTATCGATCACATCCAATGTGGAGCGAATGAAGTTGATGCTGTTCAAATCAAGATCGAGATTGCACAGCTGTCTAAGAAAAGTAGGAACGGAAAAACTGGATTTGAAGATAAGTTTGTGGTTTCTACTATCTTTTTGTAATGATCATTTCTTATGCTGATGCCTATCTAATGTATGTAAAGACTTAAGTTTCGACTTAAAATCATTCCCGAAAATAAAAGTTAGACAGGAGTAAAGATGAACTCGTACTCTAACGTCAGATCATTAATGATAAAGCCAAGAAGTATGTTAACAAGATTCAACATTGCATCACTCCTGATGAAGACACTAGACTAAACTAACTAAAGACTCAAGATTCAACGTTAGATTTCTCTAAATGAAGACAAACGTTTGAAGGAATTACATTTTTCTCGACAGCGTTTACAATCAATCACACCAGAACTTCCTGAAGAACTTTGTGAAGCTGCACTTTTGGATGAGAACAAGAAGAAAAATCGTTATCATAAAATACAAGTATCTTACTTTTACAAATTGAGATAGATATCTAGTTAGTAACTGACATTTATGCAGTGAAGTACCCGCCTTTGTGAAGTACCCGTGAAGTACCCGCCTTTGTTAATGTGGGGAATAGGTATTGTTTTGTGGCAGGAACACGAGCTGTCAATTTTTTAAACTTTGCTTCTTTTTTTAGCGGAAACTAATCGTCCTATTCTTAGGCGTGTTGGACACTTAGAAACTTCCTATTACATAAACGCATGCCTTGTTGATGTAAGTTCAGACATTTTCTGAATAATATAATTTCCACGTGATTATAGTTTTCTTATGTAATATAAGCATTTCGGGTATTGAACACGATAACTGATAATGACTACCGTTATACAAAAAGGTCTTCGTTTCCTGGTGATTGCAAAAAATCCCTAAAGACTTTGTCAATGATTTTTTAGGGTTATCTTGGCAAGAATTACTTCATTGCAACGCAGATGCCTTTGAAGGTAACCATCAACGACTTTTGGAGGATGGTCACTCAATATAAATGTACGACCATCATTTTGCTGAATCAGCTAACTGATGATAACAAGGTTTGTGACGTTTTCATAAAAGCGGGAACAATTTTTATACTTGATGTAAGCATGGTGGTGTTTATGTCGGTTGAACAACTTGCACTCATTTTGTCTCATCTTCGTACTTAATTTTTTTGTTAATTTGTTTGTGTTTCATCGAAATACTCTTTTGCGCAGTCGTAATAACATTGTCCATATGATTTTTATTTACTCATTTAGTGTAAAATACGTATGGGACAGCGTTATGTTATTCAATATTATAACCAACATCATAATTTTACAACCAGCATTCCTTTTTATCAATCATACTTTTAATGTGTACAGTTTTTTGCGCACGAATGAAAGACTTCATTTATTCACTTCTGGTCTTATTAGGAATATCCAATGTTTTGGCCCACGAAGAGAGCAACAAGTCGATCTGATGGAACATGTGCGGTTTCGTCAGAAAGCTCATTGCCTCTCCAACTTTGGTTAGTAGTTTAGTATTCTTATGGTTGCAATGTATTTGACAAATCTTTTTTATCACTGTTTTAAAATGAGCTTGCAGGGTGATTTTATTGTGTCATAAAATGCAAACCTTCCATGACAATATTTTTACTTCTTATTTGTCCTTCGTCTTTGTAATGTATCTGATACCAAAGGCAAAAAAGCCTTATAATCTAACCTGTCATTGCAAGCTTGGGACTTTTCTAGAAAGTTAGCTTATGTTGAAAGCCGGAAACGTAAGCAATCGGGCTTTATATTACTTTTACCATCATTACCGATGTGACGTCTTGTGATCAACATAACCTGTTTCTTTTTGCCGTAGTAAAACGTTGCCCTTTACCAATGTAAAACTAACTTTTTCTAATTCATTACGAAATGAACTAATATTTATTTTCGGCACTGTTATATTTTATCCCATTTGTTGATCGTATTTGTATTTGCTCTGAGTGGTTTTAAACAAATATTGGGCAACGTTGAGTCGGTTTCTCATTTTGCAGCGTAAGCTTATTATGGTTAAGTGTTTAATAAACGAAGTTTTATCATCCAGTTTCTGATTGTTCTGAACAGGTTATTTGAAAGTATTTACTGACTTCATGAATAGATTTGATGTATATCTTTTGCAAGTAACATCACTTTGACATCACAGCTCATAATAACTATTATGTAATGAGCATTATAATTTTGCTTTGTGTAACATTTTATTTCAATTAGCTACAACAGATTGATAAATATTAGAAAGTAGATATTTTTATTTAATGACATGTCGACAAAACTGCTATTTTTCTATCTAATTTTGTGTTGTGATGCCACATTGATTTTGCAAGTTGAATTAACTTAACCATCTTTTGAAAGAAGTAAAAAAACGTTGTTCTACTGGGAAAGTTATTAAGTAGTTTAAATGACTTTTATAATGCAATCATAAAGCTTTGTGGTAAAATTTCATTTCATTATCACTTTAAGCACAACCTTTTAACTTATTGCATTTTATAAGAATATCTTGACGTATGACTGAAGTTGGTTCCATACATTGATATGTTAAGCTTATAGAAACTCGACATATCATGCGAAACTACATTGAAGATGGTTTATAAGAAGCACGAAAAATTTCTTCTGTAGGACATCAAAAAAGGTCATATGGTTCATATAATTCAGTATTTATCGTGGCTAAATCATGGCCTACCTAAAGATGTTCGCAGTTTGTTGAATGTCCTTTCAGAAATCGAAGAAGCCCAAAAATCCTTGGAGGTTAAAGAACCTGTTGTCGTTGTCTGCAGGTATTGCAGTAGAAGTTTGCTACTCAAAGAATATTTTCCTGCAATCAAATTCGTTGCAATGAATGATAATCTTAAAATAGTTTGAGTGAGATAATTTTTTGCGATTTCCTTTTGTCAACTACTTTTATGTGCGATCAAGCTTTTGAAATATCCCTCCGTCAAAACTAATGGATTGAATGTACTGCATTTAAATTTACTCAGACGATTTTCAATATTTTTTCGTTTGTTCATTGAACTATTTACGTAGTTTTATGTTATAAATTCACCATTCTTATGTTACCGCGACTACAAGTGAGCCGTTAAAACGTTGACTCAATTCAGAAATATTATCAATTTTTCAATTAGTGATGGAGCAGGTAGATCAGGTACCTATATCACCATTTCTAATCTTGTGGATCGAGTTAAAATCGTCCAAGTCATCGATGTGTTTCAGTGCATAAAGTTGACCAGAAGTAGACGCCCACAATTTGTTGAGACAGCGGTACGTATGTGGACCTTCTTAACAATAGTACTTTAATCTGCTGCAGTAATTTATTGCGACGTACCCTAGATTCGTCACTGCTAAGAAAGTGGAAAAGTCAGTCTACACCAACACCAAAGTCCTTCTCTGGACTGCATTAATCTGAACAATCTACTCATACCATCTTCTAATAGATCATCGTTTTACACAAACAATATATAAAAATGTTTTCTTGTTTTTTTTAGATTGTATATTACTGATGAAAGTCCCTTGGTCTCCTGTGCTATACATCACTTCAATAACTCTCACAAGTTTCTTACCACTCATGTGTCATGGTGATTCATGACGAAGATGTTTATATGTAGTTTGGATTCTTCGTGGATGTCCATTGTTTGTGCATATAATGATGAAGGGCCCCATTATTATATGCGCCCACCTTTAGGTGGTCAGCAGACATTCATAGAAGATAAACTCCACACTAGACATTCTTTGAGTAATGATTTAAATGGGGTATTGAAGTGGTTCTCATTTCTACAAACAAGTAAATGGAAACTGCCGTCTCGTCATTAGAATCAAGCGCTACGAACAGATTTCTTGAGTGAGTTTCACCCGTTGGTTAAAATCGTGAAGAGCGTTTTTGAGAATTGGCTCTTAACGTTGTCAATATTCTTTATATGTTGTTAATATTCTTTGTTAATATTAATATTAATATTAATATTATTCCTTGTTAATACTAATATTAACGTTGTTAATATTCTTTATCGTATTCTATCTACTCAGATGTTGGTTCATTGTTCATTTTTGAGAATTTCTGTTAAAGACCTGCTCTTTTTATTTCACAGAATAGTTATTTAGGCGTACATACAGAGATTTGTTTTAGTTGTATTTTAAAAATATGAAAAAGGCAAACAGCTCATTTAAAAATTTCAGCAATTTCCCCCTGCTTATTTTACAATCATTTCATTGATAATTTTAAGTCTTTTTTCATTACAATGATGCAACGAAATTATTTTTAAGTGTAAAGTGATATGCTTGAAAATACGAATGTGCACTGTTAAATAGTTTTACTCAGGATTAACATTGTGTCACGTGATGACACAATGGAATATTTTCATCTAAAGCAAGAATTTTCTTTTGATTCCAGTTTGTATGAGAAACAAATGAAAAACACAACAAAATATTGTCGCATATGATTGTTTCACATGTCGCAGTGCTCCCAAACTACTATTTTGAATCCATAAACTACAATTGCTGTCCTCGTCGTCCAAAATTTTCTGTATGAGCAAAGTAAGCATATGCTAACCAGTGAAGATTTCCTTCCTTTTTATCACTTCAGTTTGATATGAAATTTAATATGGCTTAAAATGTCCATAGGCGATTGCTTACGTTAATGGTGATGCTATTGTGGTAACTTGGTGTATGCTTTGAGCAATAACAACGTAGTCAAAAGATTTGTAAAGACGCAAGGTTTTGCACAGGAAGATTGGACTGTGAAAAGAAATGTTATCCTACTGACGACGAAGGAATGAAGGAATCAAAAGAACCAAGTAAGTCTCGCGTTTTGAATGATCTTAGGGAAATTTGACAGGGCAAAAACGGTATTCCAAGTTTCCTACTTGAACGACAACGACAGAGAAGTTCAAACAAAAGCTTGGAGAGAAGAAAAGTTCATTACTAAAAAAATGCACAGCGCGAGATTTTTTGACTTATCATGTGGACTGTTCAAACTGCCACTTAAGAATCCATTATAGAAATTTCGGCAAGATCTGCTTTTCAGCAAAAAAATCTTTGAAAACACTCATAAGTGAAAGCCAGCTATAACAAATGCTTTCAAGTAGGGAGGGTTTTGAAAAAAATCAAATCGATTGGCGTCGAATATATTTTCCATGATTTCTAATTTAAGGCATGTTTATTCTTTATGTGCATGCCATCTCTTACATGCATGTAATTTTGGTATTTGTTATATATGGGCTTCTGTTAGTTTTGTTTCTTTCATCTATGCATGCGTTCTGTTTAAAATTGCTTGCTTATTGTTGACGTTTTCTATCTAAATTTGCATGTTTTGTGCTGGACCTGCTTTTCATTTTTTTTTGTTTTCTGAAAATGGATTTTTACGACTCATGTAAAATCATTGATTTTCGTAAAGGGGGCGTCATATCCTCCTGTCCCTCCCCCCAGGATTAATGCCTTTGATTCTGCAGTAGATTATAGGAAGTCACAAAAACAGACTTGTCCGTACAAGGGGCCAAGCAAAGTCCATTTGCTTATAGTTTTGCCATTTCTTATCTTTTGTGTTTTAGTTCTGGCCTTCGGGTATATCTCCCGAAACACTGAGTGAAATGTAATGTCTTGAACGCGATGACGTGTCAATTTACTTTGAAATTTCGAAAAGCTCTAAATCAAATCTTGTTGCGGAAGGTAAAATGTTCAACAGCAAACTATATTGAATGCTTGATTTAAATAACGTTTGAGAAAAAGTACCAGCAATCCATGCCTTCAACAAGTTTAATAGCGTAACGCTCATTGGCTCCATTGGTATCCGTCTCTCGGGAGCATCAGCCGCATATAAAGGTAGTTCTGTTTCAGACGTCATGTTGTTTTGTATTTATTTCGCATCTCCGATAAACGAAGCATGAGTTTGAACGATAAATAGCAATTAATTTTGTTCTGTCGTCTGTTCTGGTAATGGCTTTGACTGCGGAATTGTAACGTACTACCTAATTCATATAACATACGATAACTAGTTTGATGTGTCCTGTTGGTTTGTCATAATTCATTTCATTAGCCATAAATTTAAAGCTTTCTTTTCGAAATATTAAATTTAGCTTTTGCATGACAATGTACGTCATTGTGACCTTTAGAAAATATCTTTTGCCGTTTTAGCTAATAAGTGCTTTTCTAATTATATTAGATTTCTTTCTTCTTTAAAAAGCGCACCGCTAAAGCTTTATTGCATGTTGATCGTCTGACCACTCTCAGTCTCTTGTGTCCTTTAAATCACCGTGCACAATGGTGTAGTTACTAAGAAAAACCCTATTAATTTTGATTAGTTTTAATGCATCTGATTTTGGCTTTCGGATTATTTGGAAACGCATGTTGTAAGATGAAATGACATTGCGGATTATTTGCTGTTTATCGTTGGCAGGAAGGTCCTGTAATATAAAAAATGTGAGATTAGGTGTTTCTCGCAAGTAGGTGATATTCATTCTATATTTGATCGAATAAAAGGCTCTACAAACGGCGTTCACACCATAAATCGTGATTTATACCTAAGCGTGGATATTGAATGTCATAGTTATAGTTTTAAGCATGTGGATTGCCAATATTTTTGTCAGGAGCCTTAGGCAAGATTCCGTTAAAACAACGATGTCCGTTGCTAGAACGTTGTGTCGGGGGAGAGTCAAAATTGATATATTCAGTTGTGCCCGACTAAGTTCTGTTGAAAGTGAACTGTCTTTCAAAAGAAAAATGTAGCGCATAACTGAATATACATATAAATATTCACTCTTCCTCCTAATATAAATATTCATTCTTCTACCTAGCGCTATGCTGACGAGGTTGGACGAAGAACGGCTAGCCAACGTGCATCACAAAAATTAACCCATCCGGATTGATATCGTAACGCCACTTCTTGAAAAACGTCATTGTCGTCACGTCTTTCTTTCATAAAACAGATGTCAGTTGTATACACGATTCAAAGGGGCTACGAGTAATTCCTTTTTAAAGCAAGGGAATGCATTGTGGCTAGCTTTGCCTATTGCTTTGTAGTTCATAATTTTCTATGATCTGATAAAAAACAACTAATCATATTAATTTGAATATCTGGACACACCTGCTAGAGGCCAATTTATTTCCAAAAGAACTTGGTCGGGCAAAACTGAGTACATGTAACATGAATATACACCTCTTCCACCTCCACCCCTTCTTTCCTCAATTAACGTTCTATTTATGTCCGTGATGAAAGCTTATGAGCATATATCGACTGAGAAATGGACAAATCTTGTGCATACACTACATACCATCGGATCAAAAAATTAATTAATATTTTCACTTTCTCTTCCGTATGCATGTGTACACAGGGGCGGATCTAGAGTATGTCAAATCCGTCGCGCGACTGATGTTTAAAATTCAAAAATTACCTATTCATATTAATTAAAAATTCATTAATTATTCTTAGTTTATTATCGCATTTACTTCGTGATAAAAATCCAGCTTTATTTATTATTGAAAACTAATGACTAATCCAATGAATATCTCGTTGGTAACCAGATCAGTTGAATTTTAATTGACCTGGAATAACCGACTGATAAGCGGGGTGGCTTGACTGGTTCGACTGATAAAGGGTCTATGAACGCCAAAACACTTATTTCATTGGTCAATAGCCAGATCAGTGGACGATCTGGAATAATCTCGACCGATAAGCGGGGTGGCCGGATCTATAAGGGAGTCCACTTGCTATCGTGTAATTGGTTCGTTTAAATTTTTGTCTTACTGTGATTGGTTTGACCGATTTCGACTGATAGCCAACTGAACTAAAATAGTCAAGCTCACTGTCTGAATTGAATGTTTGATGGTTTCATAGTAATTTTTATAAGCATGATAGAAACTAAACTACAATCAGATGGAATTTATGGAAATCTTTTACAAATTCATATATTGACATGAATGCTGCTTTCCAAACTGGGAATTTTTTCAAGAGGGCGAAAAATTTATGGATGAATTGTAAATGTTTGGCAAAGACGATCTCGCGAGCGACATTTCAGTCATTGATGTTCAAAAGCAAGCCAACATTGTTTTGAGTTTTATCAGCAGAAATTTACATCCAAAATCGTAAGTAAAGGACAACTGAAATGTATGCATGAATGTAATATATCAAAGTCAATTTATGCGAGTGTGTGATGCGATTTATGTTAATATGGCGTATGGTAAGCAGATTAATGCTTCTAAAATTGTTGTTGCCGAAGGACTTTTAGCTATGATTTCTTTAGTGCTTGGGGAATCGCGACCGTTATATGACAGCGAAATCCTACATTCCTGCAAATATATGTCAATGGACAAAAAATCTGTGGCCATAAGCCGCCATACTATTATTTACTTTATCATAAACAAATGTTTGGGGCTTTTCAGTTTATGATCATTGATCTCATTCAATCATTGGACAGTTATACTACATATTGTTTAAGATTTGAGAAAACTAACATTGATTACATGAGAAGCTGTTTACTATAACGTGTGATTTTGAGTCTTCTGATCCATGAAGCAATTTGACTGAAATGGTATTAAACCTGAGTATTTCACATACATGAAATGTTGTCCCATGTCACATATTGTCCCCTAATCTAACTGAACACTTCATGTAGAGATGTAAAGGTGTGTTAATCTACGGCTCATACCAGATTGTTTGCCATAAATTCCAAAGGGTATTGATGTATAAAAAGCATTTTCTATAAAGTAAAAATGTCTTCCTATGTATGCAGATAAACCTTAAAATTTGGCAAAACAGCAAAGTATTTTTCATGATCACTAGGTAATTTTTCTGATGATCATTATAATTTCTAAACTAATTTATTTCAGATTTACATTTAAACGAGCTTTGATCATATGAAAAGATATTTATCATAACCAGTAAGCATGACACATGAACCAATTTTAACATTTATATAATTATATAATTAGAGACATGTTGGTTACATTCTGTTTGTATTTGCAAATACAATGCTACTAGTGATTGCTATACCTTGCAGAAGATAATAGTTTAGTGAAATGCCTAATAAACATGGCCTAATAAACATGGCATTAAGCTGTCCTTAACTGCAAATTTTCACTTTGATAATTTTTGCTTAATCTTTGGCAGAAAAAAATTTTGAGTTTTTTCTCCAAAGGTGAATTTGCTGGCACTGATGTGGAGATGGGTAAAGGGTTACAATAAACTTGCATGGTTTGAAGTCTAGCTTTTCTATATCTATGAACTGTCACTTGTAGTACCAAATTTCTAACTTAACTTATTGCATAGAGGTTTGAATGGGGGTCTCAAGGGGGGTCTATGCCTGACAAATTGGTAGAAATTTTTAAAGGCTACATCTGTTTTTGAATAGCATTATTGTAAAATAAATTTTACGTTCCTAGACATGCTAATGAGCCATATATTTGGCATGATAATGAGCCTAAATATTTGGCAAAACATTCAAGTATTGTTCACTTCATTTTTTTTTTTGAAAAAAACGTAAGCAAAATGTGGTGTTTTTACGCAAAAACGATGCCCACAAAATACATTTTGTATTGCTCTAAAACGCTGAAAATGGCATTTTGAAGGCTCTGAAATTCAAAATTTCTCAGGGAAGAATGCCTCAGACCCCCAGGTGCGGAGCGCCTCCGACGTTTTATGACTGATGTTTAAAAAATCCTAGATCCGCCCCTGTGTGTACAGTAGCTTAATGACCATGGTTTTTTGCCAAATTGATCAGAAAATACTGTCAATTGTTATGCTGATTTCTAAGATCGCCAGCAAACGTTGAAAAAGTTTTAGTCGCAAAATGTTGTCGGGCAACAAGGCGAAGCACGTATAGTATAAGATGCGTTACGTAGTGTGTATCAACAACAAGAGATTTCTTTATAAAAATCAAACTTGCCTAGTTCTTTCAGCTTCCTAATGATTATATTCAACACGGAAGAGCCCACGCCCTTTAAGGGGGTGCTTACATGAATCCGGAATGACTTTCAATCACGATCGAAACGTGATGTCAATCCGTGTTTACATGAAACTAATTGTTGTTTTTCTTCGCACTCATTTTAACCCATTTAGCCTCTTTATTTACTTACGAGCTTCAATTTTCCAGAAGAAAATACCCATGGCACACGCGTGCTTCGTCATTAATCACAATATCATTCCAGAATGAAACTCAATTCCCGTTTACATGAGATAAAAAGTAAATTTCGATCCGGAATGAAACTAGGAATGAACTCGATCCGGATCGAGTTGTGACTCATTCCGGATTCATGTAAACATGCAATAGGAGTTCTTTTAAAGTGGAATGAGTTCATTCCGGATCGAAACTCATTCCGGATTCATGTAAACACCCCCTAAGTAACACTTCATATCGTGAACAATTTATATTGACTGCATAACTCCTAACTCTTAACACATACGCCCGTAAGGAACACAAATGACCATCCTCTAGGCTCTAGCTCTCACTTAGTACAGTCTAATTGACATTGCCTTCCCTCTAATGACCGATTTCTGCACTTTGTCAGGCAGATTACTAAGAGCGCCTACAAGCGTCGTATATATTTTAGTCGTGTGATGTTGCTGGGCAACCAAACGAAGCACGTAGCACTACACAGGACGTATTACAGAACGTGTGTCACAATCAAGAATTTCTTTCAGAAATTGCAACTAGCCAAATTCTTTTCATTGACTTCACCATTATAATCAATACGGAAAAGTACATCTACTTTAATATCTTTAAAGATACGAAAACAACATTAATGAAATTTTCAACCTATATTGGGTACCGCGAATCATCTAAGTGTAAGAGAAATGACTTATTATTTGCTTTGAGAATGTGCTCGTTTTTCAGCAATTTTTGTCTTAAATTTAGTTGTATTTTATCGACTTTCGCGTTAAACCCTCTCTGCTTAGGATGGAAGTAATGCAATCACACCTTGATGTATGTTGATGAACTAGTTAATGATGGGAAAAGAGGTGACTGTATGCTGTTTTTTTGTTCTACAATCAAAACGGCTATTTATTTTTCCTCTCCAAATAAAATCATCTAATAAAAAATCACTGTGACCTTGATTAGCAATATGTTGACTCTATATGTGCGAGGTGAAATTTGGCTATAGACGTCATAATGCTTTGGTCAAATTTGCCTCTCAGGACATCCGTTTTTGAACAGATGGATGTCAAAGACTATTGTCCTATCTGTTCCGGTAATGGCTTTAAAAACGTTTATTTTTACTTCTACCCCCATTAATGTAAGACTCAGTGTGATGATTCAGATACGTCCTATTTCATCGAATCGTTACAAATAAATGATCATGAAATTTATTGAGTTGAGGTTTATATTACATGGTTTTGTCATCGTCAGTGTCGTGCAACAAGGTAGGATCGTCAGTAATATTTCGATAAGTTTTTTTGCTTTCACGATTGAATTAGTTAGGCATGATAACATTATTATTTGTAGATCGCCATCTCTCCACACGCATTAAAGAACACACACATTCCGACAAAAACTCGCACATTTATAAACACCTTCACACTTCACCACACTGCAAATCAAAATACAGCCATTCATGTTTTCGCATCTTAGACACCGCCAACTCTCCTTTTTCTCTTAAACTGAAAGAAGCGCTCTACATTAAAAAGCTCAAACCAGACCTCAACAAACAAATATACCACATTAATACAATATTTAACCTGTAATATAATATCTAACACTAATTCCGTAATTTGATACACTTAACGATAATCACATACACATACATATATATATCATGTAAATAGCATAATCACCTTCATTCTTTGTACTGAAGATGGCATAAGCATCCCGAAACATGTTTACGATAAAAAAACTCGTCGTTCATTTATTTGGAAATTCTGTTCTCACTGTTAACAATTTATTAACAACAGAATAACATATGTGAGTTTTGCCTTGCTCAAAGATCGCATGAATAGTCTTTGCAGATTTGAAAAATATTTTTGAAAAGTTTTACAAAATAAAACACAGTTTACACAGACTTCTATTACAAAAGGCTTATGTCATCACTTGTTGTGTTCTTATTTTATGCCGTTTCATGTTATTAGTTGTTTTGTTCTTTTTCTTATGTCATTCATGTCTTCATTTGTCATGTTCTTATTTTTATGTCATCCATGTCTTCACTTGTTTTGTTCTTATTCTTATGTCGTAAACTTTTGAGCATGCGCTATAAACTACGTCACGGCTTCTCTCGGACGCAGCGGACACTGGTGCACACGTTTTGAAAGTTGAAAGTTTTCGACATTCTTAGCGATGTCGCGTGATCCAAGGTGCACGTGATTAAAATATGCCAATCGCACCGAGTCACTTTTCTGTGGAAAACAAAATCATGGCAGACAAGTCATATGCAAGTACACAATCTTTTGAACCAAAATCAGGGCATTTGTGGCAACCACATTCAGAACACAGGCAAATAACACATCCAAATCTAATGACGCTAGCAACACCTAATTTATCGTGCCACAACAGCATGATTTCGAAGAAGAGTATGACGATAATCAATTGGACGATATTGTGTGATATTCGCCTTTACTTTTTCCATCTAGATAGATTTGCCTCACCCAAAATCGTTTTCTGCATTTCCTTCTTTGTAATCGCCGTCTTAATAAATTCAGTATCAACAGTCTTCCTAAAGCTGCTATCTTTGACAGGTTTTTAAATCAGCGCGTGCAAAAAAGTGTAATGGAGATTGTTTTTGAACGCGCGAACGAATGATGAGAAGTGCCCGTTCCGTGCGCGCGGGCAAAGCAACCGTAATGGAAATTGGCTTAAGTCAACTAGTTTGTCAATGACTTAAATTTGTCTAAAATGTACGCGCTCATCAATTCATATGTAGTTGTTGCCTATATTTTGATGTTTGGTCATCAGTTAAAAGAACGCGTCGCTACTGTTTCTTTAATTAGTTATATGTGAGCATCTAAGCTCACATTCAGCGCAAATGGTGAGTTTTTGGCCTTACGTGGCCAAAAATATCAAACATGCTTGATATGCGAAAAAGGTTGCATTAAAAGATGCTTAGTAAATTATGCATGTATTTGCTCAGGCTGACAGGCTTGTGTAAACCGAGGAGACCTTCGGGAGAACTCGAGAGCAGATCAATTCAAAGCCGAGATTAAAGTTCGAGTTGTGTATAGCTTTGCAGTGTATCTTTCATATATTCTGTTTGGATTGTATGTTGTAAAGTTTCTTCTGCCAAAAATTAACAAAAGTTATAAAGTACGATATCAAAAAAGAGTAGGAACACGGTTTCTGAGAACTTGAATAAAGCAGATTAATGCAACAGCTGAAACGTGCGTGTGACATTGCGTGGGCAAGATGTATTTAAAATTGCATAGACAAGGTATTGGTCCATAGCGTAGCTATCAGAGCCCTCTATTCGTAAGAGTTGGGACAAACGGTCTGGGGCGAGCGCGGAGCCGCCATTTTGGTTCCTATTTGCAAAGTGAAACTATAATAATACTATTGGAAATTGGGTTTATTTGCAAAAGAAGAAAGCAATTTAAGCTTATTCCATTGTAGTATCAAATATATTAGGAATAATAGCTAGCTCTTTGCGTTTTTTTAACGATTTGCGGCAGACCTGATTTAATTTCATTGGTTTGAGCTTCGTTTGCGGTTTACTAGATCGTGCTTCAAATTGATCGTGACCCATTGTAAGAAGTATTTTTCGCACGTGAACGTGTTTTCTCGGCTTATGTTCCGACTCTGTAACAAGTTTTCAAGATCTTTAAGCTTGGTGGCAAGTCTAGAAGAGAAGTAATGTTCTACTTCGAGCTACAGAAGTAGGGTACATTTGTGCAATTCATTACCAAAAATATATTGTACTCAGCTGTTTCAGTGAATATCCTAATTATAATTACTTCATTTTTAAATGATGAACAAAAAATACAAAATACAACCTGGAAAATCATAGCAGTTTCTGTGATTTGGTGTAGTTGTTTGTTTTAGTGTGGAAGTGGCTGAGAATTGAGAGGTTTGTAGATTGACCAATTTCAAAACATAATGAGAAATCATCTTCGATTAAAAAACAAGCTTTGTAGTAAGAAAACTATTGAAACTGCATTAGCACGAACTTTGCAATGTTATTTTGCCCAAAAATGGTTCACTACTTGAGTCAGTTGATTGAACCTTATATCAAAAGCAGTTGAGCACAACAATCACCATACGCAAAAAAATTTCGTAAGTTCGACATAAAGGCATTTCTTTCATTTTATTCGTAATCATCGATTCTGGCGATATGTAATGTCATTTAGTAGCCTTCAACAATCAGTTATTACACACTTATCCATAAAAAAACATAATATTATCTCAAAATACTGTATTACTAGCAGTAATTTCTATATAAATACTAGCTCAAATTTCAAAACTAGGAAACAAAAGGGCGGAAATTGATCAGGTGATCAATATTGCCCAACCAACGTAAGGTAAACAGATAACAATAGATGTTCCAACTCTTACAAATAGAGGGCTCTGGTAGCTATACACTTCGTAAATATTGCTCACATCCGCATTTGAGTAAATAACGATATCAAAAAAGAGTAGGAGAGCGGTTTCTGTGAACTTGAATAAAACAGATTAATGCAACAGCTGAAACGTGCGTGTAACATTGCGTGGGCAAGATGTATTTAAAATTGCATAGACAAGGATATTGGTCTTTAGGGTAGCTATACATTTCGTTAATATTGCTCACATCCGCAATTGTGGTAGCTTTCGAATGAAAGGAGGAAGGTATTACACGCTTTCCCATAACATTTTTATTGAAACATTGTGAAAGCTGGAATACAATATGACCTTAATGACCATGAGATTCGATCTGTTCTGGTTAGCAGTACTAGCACAGAATACGAATATACAGAAGAGTTGCTCATGTCGGAAACTTTGATGTTTTTGTCCTCGCGCATGTCGTGCTGCGCATGGTGGCCGCCATTATTCCAGCCAGATGATGAGGGTTTTTGACTTTTTCCCAACCTTTAAAATGATCCGAAGTCATTTCTTGAGTCAAAATAAACTTGAAGTCATTATTAAGTATTGACGTCATGTAATTTTAATGGTTAGAAACAAGTGAGAAATCCTAATCATCTGGCTGGAATAATGGCCGATATGAGGACACGTTGTACACCTGAGTGACCCTTCTGTATAATCATTATTCTGTGGTACTAGTGGGAATAAATCTTTGCTTGCACGACTGGCTTGTATAGAGAACCAAATCACTTTCAAAAGAAATCACTCGTCCACAACTGAATATATCAATATACACCCCCTAATTAGCATTGTCGTACCGTCCGTGCTATTGTGAGCTTCAGCCTTGGTCGAACGTTGTATATTTTCTATGGCCTCTGTACCAATTGTGGCTGATTGAAACCATAGTTGTAAGTATTTCTAGAAAGACAATAGATTTGAAGAAATTTCGACTTTATTTCAACGTCATTAGAAAATCTTTGAAATAAAATCGAATATTGCTTTAAATCTTGTCTGTTGCAATTATTACTCGAACTTGAGTTTACAAGATGATGTTTTTAACTATTTATATTGTGCGTATTAGGTAATAAGCTAATGTTTGTTATCGCTTAGGCCCGTTTCAAACATCAAACTTGACATGAGCCGAATGCATTTTAAACAAAAGATAACGAGGACGTTCATCTGATTTTCTTTTGTGTTTAATGCGTTCGGTGAATGTAAAGTTCGACTAAGAAAGTGTCACCAGAATTACATCTCGTTTGGCCGAATAACAAAATTTTTGGGTTTCAATCAATCACGTGGGTTTCAGCTAAGCTACAACGTTCGCCTACGCCAGCTGAAGATCGCAACATGGCGGAGTCGAGAGAATAAACTGGAGATACCGTGCTTGTATCTGGGTTTAGTTTGTCGAAGCCTTTTAATTTTAATACATACGTTTATTGTAATCAGAGCAAAATCGTTGGCATTAAAGTCCTATTAAAAATTTATAATTTTATTAAGAAAATAATATCAACAAAACTAGAAGATGTATCAGCCTGAAGCCCCGAATATATGTATAATATTCACTTGTCAATATTTTCCGTTCATTTGTTTAAGTAAAGTGCACGAAATGTTTGAATAACAAATTGTTGACGATCTAGCATTCATCTCAAATAAGTTTTCATTAAATATGGCAATGACTTTATCGCCAAATTTTATGATATTTCTTGAGAACGTCACCATTATTTTCCCTTCAAAAAGTTTTCCTGGTTTGGACAAATATCTTTACTTTGAATATCAATGTACTTCTACCATGACGTCATTCAATGAAAATTGCAGTAAGTAATGTGGACATGTAAACGTGCTTATGATTGATTTGAATAACTAAATGATGTAGTTATATTTTAATATCTGCCGAACTAAGATGACTAAGAAGAATATTCATAATAAAGTAAATCATCACACCTAAATCACACTTCACAACTAAAAACATCAAACTTCACATTAATTCACAATGACAATACACAATTGACACCCACACATTACAGCTAAAAACATCACACCTAAATCACACATCACAACTAAAAACACTTCACTTCACACTAATTCGCAATGACACTACACATTTCCTGTACACACAATACAATGACGTAAGAACCAGATAACAAATACGGCTAACCTGACAAATACTCCTTATTTGACTCTGAAAATGACTACCGCTAAGGTAGTCGTAACGTC